TCGTTCTTTCCTTTCTTTCTTTCTCTCTCTATTTTACGGCTTCCTCCTTATTTCTAGCTCATTCTCTCGCTCTATATGTGTTGCTTTCTCTTTTATTCTCTCTATTTTTTCTCTTTCTGCCTTTCGTTCTCTCAATTTCTAGCTTTCTCTTTTATTTTATCCTATGCACTACTTTCCCCCCAACTCCATTCCTTCCTCCTCTGCAATCTCACTTCCCTTCCTCAAACCTTTGCTATACTATACGATAGAAGGCTTTGCTATGCTCTGCCAGCGTGCCTGGTTTGGAAACTCGAACAGTGAAGAAATTTACTCCCGCTAAAAGTTCGGTCTTTCCTATCTTTGTTTTTGTTTTTTCCTCCATCTCTCTCTTTCTCTCTGCCTGTATTTCTTGTCTCGTCCATGCAGATCATTGCGTGCTGCTCGGTAGACGTAGGCGCATGTGATCCGGGAGTGTCCCAAAAGACGAAGAGCAGGACGTGAAGAGTGCGCACAACTTCACGATGACGTTCACTTTTTCTTCGCTGCTCAAGGACGCCGCCGCTAAAAAGAAAAAAATTCTTGGCCATGGGGGATTCGGACTCGCATACCCACGATGCGAAAGCGAGCGTCGCAACCACTGGGCTATCCGCGGGCACGCTAACAGAACATGTTATTAGTATAAGAGTGCATCATTAAGGACAACATAGTCGAAATCAAGAAGAAGAAGTAGTCATGGATAGGGCACGTAGGACGAAGGCTAGATAACCGCTGTTAAGGATGACAGACTGGAATCCAAGATAAGGTGAGGGGGAGACGGAAAGTTAGGTGGGCAGACGAGATTAGGAAGTTTGCGGGTATAAAGTGGCAGCAGCAAGCACAGGACCGAGTTGACTGGCGGATCATGAAAGAGGCCTTTGTCCCTGATGTGGACGTAGTCAAGATGATGGTGATAGAAAAGGCATAAAAAAAGAATTGAGGTTGAGGAAGAGATACAATTTACAAAAAAAAAACAATATTTGTGCTGTACTCAACGAGAAGTTATTCTTTTCGCTTTTCGCTAATAAATATATGTATACACCTATTTCTTTTTTCGTTAAGCTACCCGATTCTCGACCAATCCCACCACCTTGGGTGTGAGCCAAAAATTTAGGATCTACATCTACATCTACATATGTCAGAGTGAAGAGGAATGAAAAAACATGAATTGAGGGAGCAAAGCATATAGTATTGCCATATATACTGTAGTATAGTACGTGGTAAGTAAAGAAACCGAGGAAAACGAAAAGAGAAAGGAAGGATGGTGATGTCAACAGCTTCGTCCGCTTTCTCCATCTTTGCCCGATCTATAATGCGTAGCTGCCCCCCCCCCCCCTTTTTTTTAGCCCTGTATTGACACTTTTGCCCCAAAGCTGTGAAAACTGGAAATCATGGTGGTTGCTCTCGTATCTCTTGCGTGCACTCACTTGAAAAAGCTGGTCTTGGCATCGATTTGCGTTTATTTATTTGTACGACACTGGTAGCCTTCAGAGAGGCTTTAAATGTAAAGTACGCCGATGCCCCAAGACATACACACAAAAAAGTGAATGAGGCGCCTAAGTAAAATATATATATATATATATATATATATATATATATATATATATATATATATATATATATATATATATATATATATATATACTGTATACCTAAAGGCTCGTTTTTACGTGTTTTGACACAATATTAATGATATATATGTGGCGGGGAGGGCGTTGCCTAGTTTTGCTAGGGCGAGAAAAAAGGTGGGATGCAGCAGCCGTTAGGGGGGGCGGCCTGCCCCCCCCCCCCCCCCCCCCCCCCCCCCCAGTTCTAGATCTCCTGTCGTTGATGGTTCAGGAAAAATATATTGGACTGGACGTTTTGGTTGCTTCCATGCACCAATGTTTTTAGCGTTTTAATTCCTTTTTTTTCGTAAGTTTAGCCACCTTTTCAGGTGATATTAGTACCAGTAGGATCGCATAGGCATTCATACTTTTCTGACAAGTTGGTTAATGATCCAAAAATAATAGAACGCGTGACGTGAGTATAATTTTGATATGCCCGTGTGCTCAGATTTGGGTGCACGTTAAAGAACCCCAGGTGGTCTAAATTTCCGGAGCCCTCCACTACGGCGTCTCTCATAATCATATAGTGGTTTTGGGACGTTAAACCCCACATATCAATCAAATCGTAATTTTGATATGCTAAAAAGAGCGAGCGTCCTACAACGGGCAGTTGTAAGGATGCACGTGTCAACCATTGGTACGCCCGAATAAAAGGTGTCAATTTTTTTTTTAACGAGACGTTTCATAGAATGCCTGCGGATAAGTGGGCAAGATGAGAAGATGAAATAGTTTACTTTTGATTGTTCTTACTACGTGCAATTCACTAAATTTTCTAAACCATATTTACTGTTTATTTCAAACATTTTGTTTTCTTTTTCTTTAAATTTGTGACTGGTTGCGAAAGAAGACTTGAAACCCGCAGAACTACTGCAGCGCGTACTTTTAACGTCACACCGATCGGAGAGACTGGAAAGCAGGAATGCGTGCAGTAAACAGCCGGAAACCTCCAGGGCAGGTAAACATAGAGTGGGTGAGATCACGTATTGACAAGGATACTACATCGGTACGCGCCCTTCTATCATTCACATGTTATGACGTCACTCGTGGGCGTCTGCAGGGGGAGTGGTAGTCACGCTCCACGTCACTTCTGCTACAGATTTCGTGTTGAAGTTGTCATAACTGGTTACGCTGAAAATATTAGAGCCGTCAAATTCATCTGGTTGAAAAAAAAAAAAAGATTTGGAGCTCTGTGGATGACGCACTTTCAAAATATTAAAATCTTACACCGAACTGAATGGTACAGCTCTTTTTCTAATTATTTGCTCCACTTTCCATCATAATGTGTCTTATTATCGTATGACATTATTTCTACGTGTGTGACTGGGAGGAAACTAAACCTAGAGAAAATGTGTTTTACATTTTTTGTATATTGCAGGAATTAAACAAAATGTTCTTTATATATCTGGTCTGTTCAATTGTGTGAACTAAAACACGTGGAAATATTGTCCTACACGTGTTTTTTAAATGGTTTAACAAGGCTCCACCACCACCCTCTAGTTACATATTACCTATAAAAAATTTACAGTTAAATCCGAATTCGAGCAATCCATTTTTTTTTCTGTGTGACAACACAAGGGCGTTTCAAAGTTACAGGAAACTATCAAAGCAAAACTGGAGGCTTTCTAACCGTCGTTTGACTTTGAATGACCGAATGTACGAGTATTGTATTATAGCCAGTAGCAAAACTAGTTAACTTACCAGCATGTACATACCGAACGTGCACATCGCCTGGCTCTAAAACTGCGAAGAGCGTTGGGTATTACAGACTGACGATGTGATATAAAGCAAAAAGAGAAACGTGTCTCTGAACCACTATATAATTGCACTGTACCGTGCATTTCATTAAGCTTACAGTTTGCTTTGTCAAGGAACTTTTAAGAGAGAGGCTTGAGAACTTCGAGCACACTTTGAAAAGTGGAACAACAAAACAACTAAATATGTTTTCAACACTAAGCATTTCTTTGTAGTCCACACTCGGCAATGACTAAATCATGCCTGCTCGGTGAAATAAAAAAAGACATTTAAAAATGATACTTCAATCCTTCCTTTTGCTTACTTTGGCTTTACGATATGAGCCTTTGGTGTAATGTGCGTCGCGACCTGCGAATCCCTGTCTTTCTCCATCTTTGAAACTCTCCCGCCCTTTTCGCTTGTGTAGGGTAGCATATATATATACCAGTCTTCTTAAGACTGGCTGACGTCCTTGCCTCTCCTTTCCTTCCTGTTACTTCTTTCCTCTACGCCTTGCGTGTGGTCTTACGTCCCGAAACCGAGGATTTAAACGGCCCATTCGTGCGCTCAGTTAACGGACACGCAGACGTTAAGGGCCTGCCGAGTATCAGGTCACGTGTGGGGATCGTCACGGAAGCGTCTAGATCCGCCTGTGTGGCACGTACTATCAGCGCTGTTCCAAGTTGTGAGTATACTTGGTGCAATAATCTGCCATGTCAATTGGAAGCAATGTTCGGCACAGCCTTTGAGACTGCAATCAGAAAGCAAATGCGCCAATCACGATTTCATCGTTTCGCATATACACAGCACACACAGCACATTGCAACTCGTTTTCTGTTCGAGAAGGCCTTCCCCCTCCTTGCACATTAGGCACGGCTTGTAAGGACGAAGGCTTTAGGTTTAACGAACGAACGTGCTCATCTGATGCCTGATCCCCTTCTTGTATCGCCTTTTCATTCTTAGTTTATTAACATTGGGTCCAGAGTAAAATGTCATTATTTTAAGGGGAAGCATATGTTATGAGCCCTGCTCACTGTAAATTACGAGGAATCATTCCACGTCATTAAGAAAGTGATCACGCAGTGTGATTTTAAAATTTTAAAGCAAGCATTAACCAGAACCACTGCGCTGGCCTAGCGGCTACGGGGCTCGGCTTCTCGGAAGAACAGCGCTGCATATAAAAATTCGGTCGCGCCCGCCAAATGTAAAGCTGTGTGCTTGCGGGTTCAACTGCACGTTGAAAAATCCAGGAGGTCGAAATTTTCGCAGCCCTCCACTCTTAATGATATCGTGGTGGCGGGACAAAGACCGACAATTATGACTGAACTTTAACCATCTCCATGTACGTTAACCCATCCGTTTCCTTGGCTTCTCAGCCACGTTTCCGAGTGCCAGGTCAAGTGCTTCTCACCTTTCCACAAAGCACACACGCACGCCCCTGCCTGATAGCGACTGGGTGAGCTGTCAACGGCGACACTTATGAAGTCGACGTCACTTCGCACATCGCGGGCCACGTTTAAACGTTTCCGATTTCTTCCCGTCCGTGCTCTCATCTGTTACTTCTCTGATGTTTTATCAGCCGCGATCACCGTCCCCGGGACAACGAAACCGCTACAGTGTAAACGAGATAACCACGCGACCAGCTTGAGCGTCGAGCGTATTTAAGTGATAAAACGAAAAGAAAGACAGAAAGCCACTATCCGGTACTTGTCGGGCCGTCGCCGGCAGACAGCGTCCACTCGGTGCCGCGTGCGTCGTCTGCTCCGCGGGTCGTCTGCTCCGCGCTTCGAGCGCTTCTTCTTGGCGCCTTGCTGTGTGTGTTAACACCTGGGAAATTCGGTGCAAATCGCAGTAACGAAACGATGCGTTCAATCACCTCCAGGAACCAACTCGCGCGTGAAAGCGGCCTACTGTCGCTCCTTTTTTGCCTCCTGCTATCTGACACGGTGCATCGGTGCGACGCTCAGCAGTCGCAGACCCAGCAGGTCACCACGAACTTCGGTATCGTCACTGGAACTCTGATGCAGGCCCCTGCGCCGGGCTTGGTTACTCAAGTGCCGGTGTACGCGTTTCAGGGGATACGCTACGCAAAGCCTCCCGTCGGCTGGAGAAGGTTTGAGGTATGTATTGGGCTCACCCGACTGGCTTTCACGGGGACTTGCAAAAACCTTGAAGTGTACTACCACGCGCCGCATTAAAGCTATATAAAGCGCGAGGCAATACTTGCAGAGGCGTGGATGCTCTTCATTTGATGCAACTTACATAGTTTTCCAGTACGTTTATGAGATTTCTGTACAAAATGAGAGAACAGGGCCATCTTATGGAATGCATGCCTATTACCTGGTCGCAGTTGATATCTGTAAGGATAATTTGATTAAAGTGAAAAATTGCTATGTAGTTGACCCTTGGGCTGTCACATAGAGAATGCTTTTGGATCGCTACGATGCATCAAAGATATCAATCTAGCCTGCAAGAGTTAGGGTGCTCACTGGCACATCGAAGCTTTGAAGGTAATTTGACTAATTATCAGCTCATGTAAGATCACTTGAACGATCATATTTGTTAGTAGTTTTGTGATATTCCTTCCCAAACAAAAATGTTGCGGCTTTACACAACAAGACGCAGCCGAAACTACCAAAGGTTTCTTGTAGATTCGAGATGGACGATGGTCACCTTGGTTTTCAAAGTGTAAAGACTATATACATCTTAGTAATCAGTCAGCCAGACGTTACTGCGCAACACAGTTTCTTTCTCTCGTAGGCAATTCATATTTTCGTAAATTTGGCGAAAGGAAACAGAATGAGTATAAATATTCCCGATGAACTGTCGGGTTCTTTTACATGCAAGGTGTGACGTCTTTTATTTCACCGAATTACTAAGCCTGAGTTCGAATCGAATTACAACAGTCTTCTTGCGGTTAAAGTAAATCGATTTTCTTCATTTTAGTATAAACCTGACGCAGATAACGTTGGTCTTTTAGAAAACTGTTAGACGCAAACTTCAGGATAGGAATCTTTGTAACGTGCACGGTTCACTTCTGACGTACGGAAAGCTTAAATTCGTTGCTTGAATTGGCAGCGTGTAGCATCGTAACCTGTATGATTGGTCGTACCTCGAGGACCGGTATTCTTAGAAAAATATAAGGAAGTTGCATGACGGGACTGACTCAGCATGCGGTTGTATTTGCGATTGTTAAGTCAGCACGAATAACGCGGAATGTTAAATCGATACCAACAAGGCTTCAATTTATATATTAAGAAAAGAGAAGTCAGGTAGTGAGACTGACAATAAGGCAGTCAAAATTGTACCGGGTGTTTCAAGAAATATGTCCGGAATTCTCCAAAATCATTGAAAAGCGGTATTTGTTGAATGCCTTCACAATTAATTCTTCTGTAGCCACTCGCATCTTAAGCTGGCTGAAGACATAAGTTCGGACAGTGATTAAGAAGTCGGAGTTAATAATTTTTATTAGTGTAGTTATGCCGTTAGGCTAATAAAATAAAATTAAACTCCTCCATGTGGAGAGCACCTAGCAGCTTTCATATTTCAACAAGGTAGCCTTTCGGAATAATTGCGAACCAAATAAATTCAACCACATTCAGCGGCAAAACCGAAACGCGGAAAAGCGCTATCGCCATATTCTTTTGAGACGTCCAGATTGAGTGAGCGTCGTTAGACCAACCGACTTAGTCGTGCGAGTGTGTGGGCTTGGCTTTCAGTAATAGCTCTCATGATGCACATACGTTAACAAACACGAAATAAGTCGACCTCTTCAATCGTGGTCTTGATCAGTGACGTTATTCTGATAGCGCTCACCGGTGATTTCATTTCAGTTGCGAGTTGAATTAGGTCGAATTTCAAGGCGCCACAATAATTACTAGAGGCCGCATCTTCGACACCGCAAAGCTGCGATTGGTCATTCGCAAGAAAAACGTCCGTTCTCCTATTTGAAGTAATCACCTCTAGTCTCCTATTTCACATAAGCGCAGACAAACCTCTAGCATTTTCGCATCGATTGAAAATGTGACCACCGCGGCCGGGACTCGAATCCATGACCTTTAGGTCAGCAGTAGAGCATTGTAACCACTAGACCACTTTGGCGGGTCTTTCTCGGATACCCACCATTCCTTTGCGAAGCGCTGCAATCTGCAGACAATACACTATTCGAAACTCTTTTGCAAGTAAGTGCTGTACTTTCCAGCCTCCGTTCATGCTCCGTTTGTGACTCAGCAGACTTTGTAGTGTCCTCGATACGATAGTTTGCGTCATGTTCAACTATCATGCAGCCCCAGCGTGTTACTATGTAGCCTTGAAGTCGGGCTTGAATTGCGAACGCGAGTTTCTGGATTTCTGCCAAAGATAGAGATGGTCCAAATCTGCTTTGTGATAGACTAATGTTGTGGAAAGAGACGCAACCTCCTACTCGCGCTAAGTGATGCTTGCTAAACTTTGCGGAAGTATAGTCTCTCCACCTGCACGCTTCATTTGCCAATCATACGTAATATATGAGCACACTAGGTATCACGTCGCGGTGTGTGCTCTGAGCATTCTAAGGAGTGAAGGATACCGTGGTTCTCGAGCATACAATAATGGGCGCTCGTTGGTTTATCAAAAAAGCAAGGAAAGAACGGTGAAAATGAGTGATTTTTTTCTCCAAAAATGTCTGGTATTTGTGACTTCGTAAGCCCGCTGCATCAGTTTTTATTTTTAGGGGGACTAAAGTTTACCACCGAATACGGAATACTATTCCGTTTGATCCGCATCGACGCTTAAATACCCTTGCAGATCAATTGAACTTTAGGGCTAGTAGTGCAGCTTTCAAGAAACAAATAGGGAACATATTCATAACCACTGGTCTACACTATCGAAACTACGTAATGGAGTCTCATGCCTCTGCAAATGCTTAAATTGTTCATAAATTTCTATGTCAATTATATGAGTGTATACAGCGCAATTCATTGTATCCGCATGCATTTTGTGTCTGTTTTTGAGTTGTTTCATTGATATGGTTTAGTTGTGAATTTTTACGAGAGTGACCTCTAATTTTTAAAATGTGTTATGTAAACTTCTTATGCTATTTATGTTTGAATTTTGTGTGTACAATTGCAGGTTGCTTGAAACCAATGTATTGAATATATATATTGTTTGTCAGTGCTGATGTCTAAGCTTTGCACTGTCACGGACTGCGGAGGGACAAGGGCCTTTGTCAGACTGTTCGCCTTTAGCCCTTTGCCCCTGCAGTGAGCTCTGTATCCGGCTTACTGTAAATAAAAGTACTACTACTACTACTACTCTTCGAGCGGCTTACGCTGGGGCCCGGACGTGTTTTAGAATTGCCAATAAAAAAAAACGCTTGTAACTGCATACATACGGTGGCGCTCACTGAAATGTCTGAAAGGCGGAATGGACAAGTCAAGAAAGACCCTAACAGACTGGTATCCTGTATATATACTATGGTATGGTACATGCCCATAGGACTGTCCTGGTTTTTGTCTCCTACTGGCAATAGAGTGGACTCCGGATTCCTCGACCTACACTTGCTATTTAGCGGCTCCACCCTATTGTTATAGTCAGTCTGACTGAACGGCCGAGTGGGAAAAAAAGATTCACATGAGGAACATAGCTGCTACAAAAGGCTTTGTTAGGATGAAATGATCATGATGACAACCGGGAACGCATGATGCCATTTTTTTTAGGATTCTGCTCGGTTGCTACGAGCTGTTATTTACTGTAGGTGCTCGTCTGACAGCTCAATGTTACCCCTGCCGTAACATGCACATTTCACAAGGCCTATACGCTCGCGACATCGACAATTTCCAGCTCCATTTAGTCAGATTACTATGATTTTTTTGGTCAATTTTTTCTTCAGGCTAATTGTAAATTTTTGCTCAGATTAGCGGTTAGTGCTTCCATTGTGGTCTTTAGGGATTGCACAATGTACGACTAATGTACAATAGGTATTCTACAAATGCAAAATCCGTCTTGAAAGCATGCTTACCCTCATTGACACAGATGCTGTGAAGAAGCCAGTTTTGACGAGCGCTTCAGCATTAAGCCGACTTTCTCATTCTGTTGAAGTCTTCAGCTTTGGTCTGGTGATGCCTTGAATTATACAGTAAACTCTAATTTTTTCATTTTCGTGGGCTTTCATTGCAGTGCGGCTCCTCCTGGGGCCATTGAAAGGTGGTAATTGCCCTTTCTCAGCCTGTTTTATTCACTGCCGAACGAAGGCTCTCTAAATTATTTCAATTTTACCGTATCTTGTGTGGGCTGATTGAATTTTATTTTCCAAATAACTCGTTTTTTGTCACTTCATTGAACTCCCTACCTTTCTAAACTTCATTTCTCATCGCTTGGTGACCATTCTGAGGCTCTTAATGTACCACCGGTTGTGTGTACTACGCACTAGCGGCCAGTTGAAGTTCATTTTTTTGTGCTTGATGTCAAATAACGTATAAGCAATCTCTGTTTATTACCCGACCCCTTCTGTTGTCATCCTACCTTTACTCTCACCATTTCCCGTACCATTTCACGCTGTGGGGTCCCCGAACGTATTCTCCCATTGCTCACTTATCCTCTATATATGTTTCAGCCCTATGTGTAAAAACTGGCCATATATAGTGGTTGTATACATTTCGACAGTGGAAGATGTCCTGACACTATTTGGGAGTATCCGCCTGAATGCACTCCCGATGTTTAGAGGCTGTTTTCTCCGCACTTTGAGCTGCTGCTTCCCCGAAACGGGGTCCCTCGTAATCGGTGTAGTCCTCCAGTGCGCCGGCAGACAGGAATGACAACTTCTCTTTATTGACCAATACGTGACTGTATGATGTGTAACTGAAACAAAACGATTAGCTTGAAAGATGTTGCTTTTAGCCTCATCTTACTTGGATAGCGGTTACCGCAACCCACTCATCGAATCCAAGTGTAAGGGAGCAGAAACGGCACTCCTTGGATCGTAATCGCCTGTGATTTCGTGTGACTTGTTGATGATCCACAAGAATGTGACTGTTCTTGTTTCAAGCAACAAACTATTTTGTGCCTGCTTCTCGCCTCGGTAATACAGCCTTTGTAGCCGGCAGAGAACGCCAAGACCACTCGGCGCGTGTTTGCCATATTGTTGCACCGTGCTATAGTTTTTTTTTCTTTCTCTGTGTTCAGCTTCGCCTAAATATTTCACTGCAGCACATGCTGCGTATGACACCGGTTAATAAGAAACGCGACCTTGAGAACTCACTAGTTCTTGCACTGCATGCGACTACACACAAACGCATTTGTCATAATGGTTAAAATGTAACCTCGGGCCCTGTAGCCTCCGCTGTTGTGCCAGCTGACTGTGGAGCACACTGGATGTCGGTCGGTTTCGAATTAGTGGCGAAGCACGATGAGAGATCCCATCAGCATCCTCTCGCATGAGGATTGCGCAGGCCACTTCACCCTGCCGTTGGGCTCAGCCACGGCTGATGGAGGCCGCATATCGGGCTGCGTCTGCGATACGCGCACACAAGCCGAGGTCAATGCTTGCGTAATAGACGACTTGCTCCATACGCAAGAACTCTTTGGAGACTGCGCGAGGAGCGGACGGACACTTTCACTTGGTTCGGTGCGTGTGCGCTCGGGTTGGCTGCACCGAGATAGGGCCTGCCACTGCGGTTTGTTCTTTTGTGTTTTTCTTGTTGCGGCTCTGATGATAAAATAGGGCATACCTTATCGTCACTTTTTTTCTGCTTACCTATTCTTAGTCTTCGTCGTCCCGCGGCTCTTATCGCGTGTGGAGACAGCGCTGCCCTGATTCCGCCAGTTCATGTCGCGTGCCAGAATGGCTCGTGCGTGGAAGCATACAACAGGTACACGCGCGTGCGCCTTATCTCCTTCTTTGCGGAGGGGTTGTTCCCCGACATTCATCTTCGCGCACCTTCGTGAGTGAGTCGGAACTAAGACTGAATAGCAAAGAACACTGCTTCGGCTTTGGTGAAAGAACACCATTTCTTCTTGCTATAATGCATAAAACAGTCTTGTAATTTCATGAACTCGTGGTTAATTTTGACACTTGCGCTTGTCAAGAACTGAAATAAATTAACTGAAGTGCGTTTACGGGTGTATGTAGTTCACCGCTTACATGTATCACTCGCATTACATGAAGCATGCATCTTTGAGGGAGGTCAGCTTAGCCATGTCCAGGAGTGACAATAAGAACGCTCGCTCGCTCGATCACTCACTCACTCCCTCATCACTCACTCACTCCTTGTTCAAGGCTCATTCTACATTTACACAGGTCAAGAACAAAATGGCGCCCTAAATGAGGGCTACTAAGGTATGCTACCCGAGACCGGGAGGTGGAAGAAGTGGGCACACTCCTCCGCCTCCGTTCCTCCACTTATATAACTGATGCCCCTCTATGAAAACGTTTGTCTAGACTCACAGGGGCAGACAGTAGTCCAGATAGAAGGTGCGTCTGTTCAGTTTCAACGTTGTTCTCAATCTCCTGTGCATGCTGCATGGTATACAATCGCGTCAGCATCATGACGCAGTGCTCAGAACTCCACTGCATCTACCAAATGACCCACTTGAGTAAGCGGCGGAATATAGCGAGCGATTTCATTGAAACAAAGGGGCTATGATTTTTGTACGCTCGCAGTCTTGTGGCCAATGTTGTATACCTACACGTTGCTGTTGTTATGCATTGCAGAGAGTCCGATAGCCAGTTGCCTGACTCGTCCTTCGTTATCGTTACACTCTAACTGACCCGTACAGAGCTTGTAAAACAAGTTGCTTTGCCCCTTTTACGACAACACAAGGTCTAATGAAAGACACTCGCGGTTAGCTTCCCAAAGGCGCTGCGTCAAACGGTGGCAATTAAGGAGCAGCAAGAATGACCTCGGTGATTTGGACGGACGTCGTTGCGCAGTTTTTATTAGCACGAATAGACGCTGCTACGAACGTGCACGAAATGCCGCAAGACTCTTTGTATTTTCGACATGTTGTCGCGCCGTGGCTCTGCCATCATTCAACGACGCTGCACGCATGTGTTTTTTTTTTCTTCGCAGTATTTATTGGTGCTTGACAATTGCACCTGTAAAGGACTCAAAGAAATAAACTGAAGTGTGTTTACGGGTGTATGTAGTTCACCGCCTACATGTATAACTACCATAACATGAAGCATGCCCCGCTGAGGTGGTCTAGTGGCTAAGGTACACGGCTGCTGACCCGCAGGTCTCGGGATCGAATTCCGGCTGGGGCGGCTGCATTTTCGATGGGGGCGAAAATGCTGTAGGCCCGTGTGCTCAGATTTGGGTGCACGTTAAGGAACCCCAGGTGGTCGAAATTTCCGGGGCCCTCCACTACGGCGTCTCTCATGGCCATGTGGTGGTTTTGATACGTTCAACCCGACATATCAATCAATCATTAACACGAATCGTACCCGTTTCACGATAGCCCTAGCTTTCCTAGCCAGAGATATGATCATGAGTCGAAACGAATTTACCCGCATGCTGCGTCCGCTCACCAATACCTCAATTTCCGCTGTGCTGACCAAGTACAGAAGCTTTGCATGCCTGTACGCACGAGTGAGACAAAGATGAATTTCAGCTACAGGATAGAGAGTCTGTTAACAGGTTGCCTCTACTTGCACTGAGTAAACTGAACCATTTCGCGAGTGTCAAACATTTTGTTTTTTGTGCTTCTCGCTGTAAAATTCAATATTACGCAGGATGAACTAGCACAACCTCTACGTTGAAGTCTTTATATATAGGCAATACCCGTATGGTCAAAACTTTTAGATTCGTCCTCTCCAACAATTCTTCACATTTTTTTTCTGCTCTGCAGCGCCCCGAGCCATTGGACCAGCGATCCTCGTTCAGTGACAACCTACGAGCCAGCCCGCGTTGTCTTCAATGGACGACATTCCCGTCAGAGCGTATTGTCGGCGAGGAGGACTGCCTCTTCCTGGACATCTACGTCCCCGCCACGTATTTCGCGGCACCTGTAAGTATAGCGAGCGGTTCCCCGACTGGAACTGTCAAGATGGATAAATAATTGTTTCTGAGATTTGGTGTCACACAGTCGCTTGACGAAATAGGTGATATACTAAAGCGATGCTTTTTTGTTTGTCTGCTTCCTCAAGTGTGTGTGAACGGGTTGATGAGCAATGCACGGGATCATTCAGTAAGCATTGAACTTGTTGACTAGACGGGCTGGTTCTGATTTTAGCCGTGGCCTCCGCGATCGGCTGCCGGCAGCAAATCGCGGAGGCCACGTTTTAGCGCTATTAGTTCCGAGAACGAACACTGGTGGTGCGGCAGTCGGGGTGAGGTGACGTCACGGCAAGGACTTACCTGCTCCGCGGCCGAGTATCGCCTTTTTCTGCGCCCGACGTGTGCCCACTCTTACGCGATGCAGTAGTGATAACTGCTGATTGTTGCGTTGCGAATCTACCAGGGTGGAAGGCGGCTGTTTGCACTGCTACCGAAAGTTGAGTGCACTGCAGAAAGCTGCGATAATCTAAAGGGCAAACTCCCGTCTGAACGAGATATTCACTGTGAAAATGGCGGTGCGTTACAGCAAGGCATTCGTCGTTGTCACTGCTTAAGCCGAAAAATTGGGGCTAAAAGTCTTTACGCTATAATCATTCGAACTTCATTACAACTTGGCGTACACTCTGGGGCTAGAGCATGTGTTCCAAAAAATTACAAATAAGCTTAGAATGTTTTCGATTTCATTCATATATCGTGGTTTTTATGCACGTTATTGGGGTAATTTGACAAAGTTGCGCTTTTTGCTAAAAGAGACGTTAAATGATCTACCATGAAATATCTTTTAATGTATCGAGAGTGTATACGGTCACACACAATACGTTCAGGGAAATGCTGAGATGCTCGTGTACTTAAATTTCCTTGTCAATATTTCTTCGAAAAATTAAGTCACCAGGAATAGTGAGGCCATATATTTCTATTTGAATAAACTGCTGGTCCGATCAAACACTTCGTTACAAGCGGTAACGTTTAGTTCACGTGGAAGCACCATTGATAACAATAGTTTGCAAATCGAAGAACTGAACGTCGAAATGAGCATTGTGAGTCGTTTTGATGTTGCTATCAGCGACTTAGCCCACGCAATAATTAAACGGCCTTCGCCTCGAGGAGACGTTGTGAGGTATCCAAAGTCATATTCACATACAAGTTAATGAAGCTCGGGTGTAACAGTGCCATTGCTACCATGCTGCATGAAGTTTCCGCAATTAACCTGAACTCATTTTTTAGTAAAACAAAGCCCCGATATTACTGCGAGGAAACCGTGAAACTACATTAGGAGTGAGCGAGTAGATGAGAAAACAAATACAACCGCTGTGGGAGTATTCCCGGCTGAGTGCTTTGGAGATACTTTGCGAGCCGCCATAATGCATTGCGTTTTTGCCGCAGGGCGTAGATACTTTACGTGAAAAAAAAAAAAAAAAAGCAAACGCCAGGCCTGCGCGGAAGGCGCAGCACAGTCACAGCAAAAGCTATAAAAGCGGTTTTTCAGAGCCCTTTTTAAACACTAATCGGGTAACCGGTGCAAGCACACTTGCTGAGTATCCACTACGGCATTAATAATAATAATTTCTGGGTAGTAGGCCGGCATACGCTACGCTATCCTTCGTTATTCTTTTGAGAAGCGTGGTATCCGCTAAACATCTGCAAAGGAATTACATGCCAAACGTCCATGCAGTGTCTCATGACGATGACAAGTTATGTCTGAAGTGGGTATGCGCCACAGTTAATAGGTGATCAAAAACAAAATTTTGTAATGGGTTGGAATGTTGGACGACCCACTCAATATGCTCGTCGCATTGTGTGACGCCTTGTTGTTCTTTTGCTGTTCGAAAACGCTTTGTTACTCATACTGACGCGATTCCTTTCCCGACATGAAGCCTCTATAAGGCAAGTTCGTGAACAAGTCCCAAGCACCGGCGTGGCTGAGTGGTAGAATACTGGGCTGGCACGCAGCGGACCCAAGGTCCTTGGTAGCAGGATTTCTTTTCTTATTTTGTGCGATAGCGGTTACGGACCCCGGTGACAGCGGTGGCGAAGAAATACGACACCGTGATCACAGGTTTCACTGTAAGAAAAAAATATATGAAAAAATTCGCGGCCAGACAGTCGCATGTGTCCGATACAAATAAAGCTTTCGGAAGTGAGAGCATGATTTCCTGAGAAGAACCGCTGGTAAAGAAGGCAACGTAATAATGTAAATATGCTGTCTCATGTGTAAAAACCAGGACTTGAATAAGGGACGTGCTGTATAGAATAACTTTATATCCAAGCAAAAACATTTTCCTGCTTTTCACTCACGTCGGAATTCGGCAGCCGCGACCGACAATCAAACCCATCCTCGAGTTTAACAGTGCGACAACACAAACCTGATCAATGTGTACGGTAGAGCGCGGTAACCGTTCGTGATTGTACTAAACAAATGTTTTTAGTTGTTTTACTAGGAGCATTATTTATGTTAGCTTCGTTATTAATCTGAACCTTGAGTCGAGAAAAAAGCTATCGCAAACAGCGGAACAGCGTACGATGCGAGCGCATGTTCTGTACGCGCCACGGCAGGTGTCAAAGCGTCTTTGCCGTGACGTCATCCAGGCAGCCCACAGGTGGCGCCACCTCAGCTTCTCTGTGAGAATAATACTGCTATGTTTCTGAGAAAGCCGTCGTGCAAGGCACGTGGATGGGCCATCGTGTCTATGGAAAAGCACTTCTCCCGTCAGGACAGCTGTCTTGAGTCGTCGTGTGGTGATGAGGGCACGTGCAATTATCTAAACCTTGGTTCCAGTGAAATTACCGGATCAATGGTTTCTTATCCCTCTAGGAGTCCCGTTTAGGCTCACGTGTTTTTTTTATGTTGTCTTCTTTCTAAATCTCTCTTTTCATCCTGAATCCCCTTCCCCTGTGTAGGATAGCAAACCGGACGCTCGCCTGGTTGACCTTGCTGCCTTTGCTTCCTCTACCTCTTCCTTCCAAGCATCCATGTTCCCCTTAACACTGCCTTGGAACCTTATTTGTCACCGAACGTAGCAAAACGTCACAGGAGGTTTACAGGAGACAAACTATCGCTTCTTCTTAATATAAACGTTTTAGACTAGTACCGCTGAATTAGTTGTATACACACAATTAGCAATCGTCGTTGGGCTACAGATAAAATGATTGTACACGAAGCGTTGTGAACAAATACACGTGCAAATCATAAGCAGACCTCCGAGAGCAGCTTTCCCGCAAAGGTGCTCTTTCCGTTATCATCGACGGCTCGAACTCTTTATTCGTTGTCCTTCTAGAAGATAATGCGTTCTCCATTACAGCTTTTTTCTTTCTATCTGAATATATCTGTTTACTGAGAACATCTTCTGCGGTAGTTTGCATTTCCCCAGCTTTTACTTTTGATTTTCAGACCCTCTCATGCGCAGTCCAGAAGAAAATCTTTATGCAAATATTGCTCGAACTCAAGTATGTCAGCTACGAGAGACGATCGAGTGGAACAGTGAGAGCTCTCCAAGCTTCATCTGAAGAACTTCCAGGCTCGGATCTTCACAGCCTAGGTGGCTGTCCAGAACAGTGACCGATAGGCTTAGACGAGGACGTTTCCAGCCGAGCTCAGCTTGTTGTCATATGAACGTACCAAGACTTGCGGAAAGTCACGTGCGGTCTTCTTTACAAAGGCGCGTTATGGGGTCACTAAAGAAAGTTCTATTTTACTAGCGAGCTACAGTTTCATGATATCGAAAGCGTCAACGTTACCGCAAGATGGCGATTGGTAAGCGGGAAAATGCGCAAAAAAGCCATGCAGGTGGGGACGCCACCATAGTGGTCATGTACTATAGTTTTCGTGACGTCATAGATTATGACGGTGGCTGCTATAGTGCGTACAAACGTAATCGATTATTGGTGAAGATTGTTTTCACTGTGTTCTGAGATACCCAAAGTTTTAGCATATAGTGAGTTTCTGAAAATGATATTTAAAATTTTGGATGAAATACAAAAAAAAACAACTTTAATGAATATGCACTTTGGGGGAAATGGAAGCTTGAAAAAATTCACGAACACAGGGTCTCGTGGAAGCCAACAATTCGACAAGTGAATTTGTTGCAGCTTTGAAAAAAAAGTCTGTTGAAACGTGGGCTCTAGCGACAACTTGTGTTTCAACAATTTTTGTTCGCAAAAAGAACGAAATCTGTGATGATACAGACTCTGAATTTTGTTATTCTCTTCTAACAATTATGCTATGATTGTGAGAATAAACACAACAGAGTTCTGATAGCATATTTGATATGATAATGATAAACTGATATATATTTCCACATTATTGTCTCTTTGAAGGCGTTCCGACGAATTGCGGCCGTTATGAGAATGCCTTCTGTGGTTTTAGCTGGTGGAAACCGGGGAGCAAATCAAAATTCTTGATTCATGCCACGGCACCGTGAAATTTAGCGAAGACCTTTTGACCCACAGACTACATGCTTCGAAAGGAGAGATGATAACTAAAGGCTTTTGTTTCTCGTAAAACGTGTATTTATAAAGGTACTGTTGTTAGCTCTTTGAACAAAATTTAAAGCAATAGCTAGAACAAATTTCAGATGTTGAAGCTAAAATTATTTCAGGTGTTAACCTGCTGCGATAGCTGTCACAGTTTTTATTAGAAGAAAAAAAGATATAAAGGACGTATTACTCTGTCCTCTATATACAGGACATTTAACCCTTCTTTTGACTCTTTCTAGAAGTGAAAGCTATACACTCGAGAAAGCCGCCGACCTTTGGAAGAATCATGCAGTTATAGCTGTTTACCCATGGACGATAAGGTCACTAAGTAATTTACACCGCACTTTGCGCACAATGTGGGCTTTCGTGCGATTACGGAGAGCGATTTTTAGATGTCCTCCGATATATTCAGGGACGTGTAGAGATGCAAAACGTGATAGTAGCTGAGATGGAAATTGTGCACAGTGCCGTATACATCGATATGGTACGCCATGTACCATAGCAACAAAATGGTAAATGATACACTGTCCATGCAGTGTACTGAAAAACATTTCATACTCTTCACTGAGTCCAGTTTGATGCATTAGCGGGTCAATGAATCTTTAAAAGCGGGCTCAGAGTCGAAGGAGCTCTAAACTTCCACTTACTGTAGTGCAGGTTTTTCTGTGCAGCAAGTCTTGCCGTCATGAGAAAACTCAGGACGGGAAAAGAAACGAGTTAGAGGCAGTCTTTGTTTTTTGTTGAAATCAAAGAAGCTTTAATGCGGACACAGCTCTGAAGGTAGTGCATTGCAAGTCGTTTCGGTTGATGCAAATCAACGATATTCTGAGGACGCCCATCAGCAGCTACCTGTATGGTTTGCCGTTTTCGGTTGTCTGATGTAGCCCTAAGTTTAGTCTTTACTCGGCGTTGATAGCCGCAACGCTCCTGATCACTTGCGTGCGACATGAAGAAATATAAGAAGGCCCACTTGAATGTTGCATCAAACATTCTTGAGCATATCGGCGAGTTCTAACTTTGCATGAGTTAGGTATAATCTGGTACCTCCACTTGGAACAGTACTGCACAAAATGCATCAATTGTAATCACAATTTTATGGAAATTCAATTTAAAAAACTTTCTATCGTATAAGAGAATTTTGTTGTTGCGATAGTTTACCTTGATATTCGAGAACCAATGACAAGTGTAAAACTCAAGTTTTATGATTATTAATAATCTTGTTTTTGATGGTACGAGCAGGATAAGGCGAGATTTCGCATTGTTCATGTGACCGTTATTGCCAATGATTCCTTTTACTACCAAATTTTACTAAACGTCTTTTTTGAATTTTTTCGTCGTAGTTCCTTGTCAGACAGTAAACTTCGTACCAAGTACGGTGCGCATTTTAGATCTGCCCCTAAGCTCACGCCAATTTCTTTGTGAGACAGTAAACTTCGTACCACGAGGTTGGACAGCAAGGTGCTGAAGAAAACCCGTATTTGCATTGATTTGATTGATTGATACGTGGGGTTTACCATCCCAATACCACCATATAATTATGAGAGACGCCGTAGTGGAGGGCTCCGCAAATTTCGACCGCCTGGGGTTCTTTAACGTGCACCCAAATCTGAGCACACGGGCCTACAACATTTCCGCCTCACGGAAAAGCAGCCGCCTAAGAAGGGATTCGAACCCGAGACCTGCTGGTCAGCAGCCGAGTGCCTTAGCCACTAGACCACCACGGCGCGGCAAATCTGTATTTGAAGGACCTTTAACAATCCAGTAACCTACACATGATCAAAGCGACTTTGCCAGCGGTAGACAACAAAGCAATTTTGTATCTCTCTCGGCTTTGTGAATTTCAGGCCACAAAGCTTCCGGTTGTAGTCTTTATTCCGGGGGCCGACTTCAAAAGTGGCGGCAAAGATGAAATCAAACCAGGATACGACTTTGGATCGAGAAACATCTTCGTGGTTGTCAACTACAGGCTCGGCGTTCTCGGTAAGTTCTCAAATGGCAGCACAGTGTTTCCGCTTGCAGAATATGCCATGATTGCTTTAACATTGTCAAGCCTTTGCTGCTTTAATTAGTGTGTGCTTTCTAATCGCTTTTTTTTCGCTGTCGTCACCGGGCTGTTTGAACACGCAATTCTTTATGCTGGGGTTCATCAAGACTTCAGTGAAGCATTTCCGTCATCGAAATGACGTCGGAATAATACGCATGATCAGAAGACAAAAAACGTTCCATGAACGGAAGTCCAACCTATGACCTCTGGGTGCACTGACAACAGATCCCAAGCATAGGTATACACTGCGCCACGGTCACATAAAATGTTTTATGGCCTGGAACGTCATGGTCACATATTTTGTACGCTTTAAAAAGTGCTCATTTTAGATATACCCTAACCTCGCCCCGATTTTTTGGTAAAATGCAGTAATACATCATAACCATGACATCAGCAATTAGTTACTTCAACGCGTCATTTCTAAGCGTCCGTGCTATTCGGTGTGTTTCCAATAGAAGTGCAATTTATTCCACGCCTTCAACATCCCCAAGCGGCTTCTAACCCCATGCGTCGCCACCACTCATATAGCATTCATTTATGTAAAAAAAAAAAAGTTCTCAGCATATCTACTTAGTGAATGATGAGGAGTACAGCGAAGCTTCCTTCCATCCATGCATCAATACGTGCATTCATCTGTGCATGCGTCCGTCTATGCGTTCATCCGTGCATCTATCCGTCCGTGCGTCCACCCACGTGTCCTTGCTTCCGTCCGTCCGTCCGTCTGTCTGTCTGTCTGTCTGTCTGTCTGTCTGTCTGTCTGTCTGTCTGTCTGTCTGTCTGTCTGTCTGTCTGTCTGTCTGTCTGTCTGTCTGTCTGTCTGTCTGTCTGTCTGTCTGTCTGTCTGTCCGTCCTTCCTTCAGCGCCTGCCACTCCGATTTGTCCATGCCCCACCAACGATCCGACACGTACGGCGACGATCCAGGAGGCTGAGAAAGGCACTCAGTTCCTCGCGCACCCAGGCTACCGGCGAAAGGGAAGACACGATGCGCGTTGCATTTTCCTCTTGTCGGCCAGTGGTGTTCAATATCCTTGCATGCTGCGAGATCTTAGTCCAAGTCCAGTGTCGAGTCAGTCACACCCTCTGGCTGTCACATCGCTTTCTCTGGTTCCGCCCTCACCGTTGACCTACTACGGCTACCGCAAGCCTCTTGACGACAAGGGTTTGTTTAATGAATAATGATGGACGTCAGTCGCCGGGATGGAGACGTATGAATAATCGTCAACAGGTATGAATTCACGCAAAGTGGCGTTGTAGCTGTGAAACACCAACAAACTTTGCGCATGCTCTTATATCAAGAGGCCGGGACGTAAACAGTCAACTACTTCTGTAAGGACACGTTTTATTTTCATGTTCTACCAATTCCTATGACCGATGGATCAACCATGTCCCACTCCCTTTCCCAACAACGGCACGATAACATTCCCAATTGCTGTATAAGAGGGAGGAAGCTTATTTACGAAGGCAAAACCGAGGAACACTTTTAAACCGTACCATTTTGCTGCAAGGGAAATTGAGGGTTAAAAATAGTTTCTACCTTTTTGTATTGCTCTCACATGTGTGTTACATGGGTTACTTGGCAAGGGCTGTCAACAAGGTGGGGAGTTGGAGCTATCAACAGCCGTCGAGTACGGGGTGTTTCTTCTTCGAATGTTTCTTCTTCGAATCCCATGCTAGGCCGCTGTTAATCGACTATTAGCTTTAAAATAGAATGCTGGTAACTCATGCTGCATTATTGGTCGAAGATTAGTTCCGTAAACCTGCCCACCATTATTTGCCACTCCGCAAGGTTTTCTGAGCACGGAAGACGAGAACGGCAAGGGCAACATGGGACTCTGGGATCAACAGATGGCGCTTCGTTTCGTCAAGTCAAACATCGCGGCCTTCGGAGGGATCCCGGAGAAAATCACTCTCATGGGCTTCGGAGCTGGAGCGATGTCCGTGTCGTTCCACATACTCAATGCTGCATCTTCCGGTAAGTTGTCAGCGTGAAAACACACAGAATAGAATATGATGAGCCAGTTAACGAGTGTTATCTGAGAGCTCGGAGACGTTTCAGTGCAGCGAAGATATCAAATATGCAAATGACTAGATCTAAATTAATACTGTAGGAGTCATATAGCATAATTCAGAAAATAGGTTTAAGACACGGCAATCAGGCGTGAGCTGGGGGAATGTGTAATGTGTGTCATCCATTCAATGTGACATTTTTATCTGGAGCTGATAATGAGGTGACCGTCAAACTGGCAAGCATTCACGAAGTACCCGGCAAAGGAGAACCAGGTGGCAACTTTAACGGTATGGTATGCCCAATTTCGCCTCCCATGTTGATTTTCAAGCGAGTGGCACATTAGAAACTTGGGATTGTCCTCATTCCGTGAGGGTGAGAAGAAAGGAAAAAAGGGGGAAGGGGGGTATCACTGCATTGCAAATGCTTTCCTTTCCCGCGATGCAGACCGAGCTGGTTGCATGTTTGGAACACCAGCGTTGCTGAAGGGCAGGCGAGCCACTGCTCTGCACTTACTAGAGCGTTGTCGTTGAGTACAAGGGCATACTTTTGTTTACAATGGCAGTTACAAAATTTACTAAAGAAAACGGGTCATATTCACAGTCATTATTTTTAACACGAAACGAAATCACAAGAAATATGACAGTGTGAAGCGCCGCTCTCAACTGACATCGTTTATTGCGTGAATTTCAAATATACGAATCAGAACCAGGGCGACATGCGTGGTGTATAGCACGTGCAGCAACCACCGTAACTTGGGATATCCCAGTGCGCTCGTGAGAGTGCTGGGATGACCAAGTACTGGGATGACCAAGTTGCGGTTGTTGCTGCGCGTGGTGTACACTACGCACGTCCTCCTGGTTCAAGTCCGTAGAAATTTATTACAACCTGTGGGGTTTAACGTCTCAAGACTACTACATGATTATGAGGGACTTCTTATAGGAGGGCTTCGGAAATTTCGACCGTCTGGTGTTCGTCAACATGCACTACCATTGTGCAGCACACGAGCCTCTACAATTACACCGCCTGATTGAAATACGATCGCTGCGCCCGAGATCGAACCAACGACCTTCGCACGACCTTTGAGTCTGCGACCAAGCACTTTAGCCTGTGCAACACCATGGCGTGATGCGGTAAATTATATCAGTGAAGAGTGTGCTATTGCACTTTGTCCTGTCATCGTTCGTTTGTTTTTCGTTTCGCGCTAAAAGAAATAATCACTATGGATATTCCCCCCAACGCATTATGTTGAACAAATCGTATATATAGGCTGTCACGTGGACCATAGAATATAGTTAGGCGTTCGACCGCATTTAAACACATTTTGAAGATAACTTTGAAGAACGCCTTTTGAAGATAGCATGCAGGCTGCTTTCGAAATGTGCTTTACATAGATCTTGAGTTCTTTAATGATTATACACCGAAACATTAAACTTACGGAAAAAAATACATTGAGTAGAATATAGAGTTCTTGCTAATTTTTTTTTGAAATCTTAAACGACGTTCTTTTTCTCGGCGTCTTACTTTTACAGCACTTTTTTCTCGAGCCATAATGTCGGGCGGTTCGGCTACCAGTCCCGAGGCTACGATAACCAATGCCTGGCGGAACGCTCGCCAACTGGGACGAGTCGTCGGCTGTGGCCAGGAGGACGGGGCATCGCTCATGGCCTGCCTCCGCACCGTTGACGGCGTGAAACTCACAGAGAAGGCGCATTACAATAAGGTGCAGATCACTGTATGCCGAGCCTTCTTTGTTTATACCTATTTCACCAGTAATTGTACAGTAATTGAGAATACTAGACAGAGCCCAGAGAGAGCCTACTCTTAGTTTAAAAGGCACACTGAAAAAGAAAGGAGCACGCGTGACTTAAGATCACAATTGCAGACTTGCTTGCCAAGGTTAAGGAGGTGATGATTTTTTTTTCAAAGCGAGAATTGTAATGGTCGCGCTGCATTTCAACTCGGTGCACAACAAAATAAACCCATTTTGGTGACAAGAACAGTAGGAGATAACATATATATCGTGGTGTTACTCACGGCGTCTAAGCGAAAGTAGTGTAGACTGTACTTACATTCTATAGGTCGGAATTGTGGATGTTTGAACTGTGGTCAATATTATTCAGCTCTAAAAATAATTTTTAATCTTCAGTCTCAGCCTAAAACGGAAAGATTTCTGGGATGGCGTTGTTGCATGGTTTCTCTATATTTTTACGGCTTGTTTAATTTTCATGAAGCTGACCTGAAGTAGTTAGTTATAAGGAACTATTTGTAATATATAAGTCTACTATGTGTTCGGTCATAAGGCGAGAAAGAAACAAAGAGGTACAAGTGAGACTGTCACACACTTCGGGTGAGGCCCCGCCGATCCAACACCGACGTGCGGCAGACTCGCAGGCTTCCACTTTACACTTCGGCCTGCGACGTCTGAAAGGCCTCGAAGTGGCACATTTCAAATTTATTTGTAGGTTGGTCGACCCGCGCGGGGTTGCACGTGTGGTGATGAATGAGCCTGATCGACGCACTCATAGAGCAGACACAGAGTTTGATTACACTTAAACAAACATTTAATTAAAACAGGGGCAAAGGCAGGAGATTACAAAAATAACAAAAAAGGAAGAACTGATACGCGCGATAGAAACAACAGCTACATAATAAAATGTGCTAAACACACTACAAAAGATACAGGCTAAAGACAAATATGCGGAACATTAATAAAATAACAACAAGATGGAAATCGTAAAAGAGGGTTACAAGGAAATAATTACAAAATGCTCATGGTGACGCTTTTGAATTTCAACGTGCGACGCAGCGCACCCTACAAATATTTAAAAAAAAAAGGCTGGTTAAAATATATTAGCAGTTTGAAAAAAGTCACAATAAAAAGTTCCATACGGACCAGGCCAGCTCTTGGTGCACGTAGGGGAGTTGACGGGCGCCGCTGAAGGTCTCGCCGGCTTGGTAGACGACGAGGGTGCCCGGAATTGCAGCCGTCTCAATACGTTGCACGGGTCACTCCATGCTCGCCGCCTACGCGAGACTCGCGACACCGACGACCGCACTTGTTGCTGGCTGTACGTCAACTGCCTATTCCGATGCAGTCCAAACCTCTTCAGGGGCGTACACGTGACCCCGTCTCATCTGGGGGTAATTTTCCTTTTTTAGGCCGCCGGTTCCCCTTTTGGTACAGGTGCAGGGAAGACAAGCCGGCGCCACGCTGGGTCCTTAGTCGCCGGATGTCGTCCCCCGAACACAAAAGCGCCCCTCTTTGGAAGATGGGGCCCGCGGATAATCCGAAAATTGGAGTCGTTTGTGACATAGCCCCCCTCTTAAGAATATTACTTCGTAATATTCAAGAAAATCACAAACGCACAATGTTCGCGAGCTTTCGGTGTTCCGGTCGTCCACCAATGCGTTTTCTTTTTCACGCACCATTTCACTGATGTGGACGACATCGCAGAGAACATCTGATACACTACACTTTCATGGTCATCATACTATGAATGTAATAACCCGCGCACCACGAGACGGACACACACATGAAATACGAAATAACACACACTGCTAGAATCGAGGGAGCTGTATTCGAAGCACCCCTTCTGGCGATCATGACACGGATCACAAGATAATCACTACACATAATTCTTCCAAATCCACAAGAAGAAAAACAATTACCGAGCAATTCGAAGTCAAAGTGATACAAAAAGGTTTCAGACAAAATTATGAAGGTACGAAGCATCCATGTATGCAAAAAAAAAAATATTTTTTTTAGAAACGTGGCCTTATGGCATGAATAAAACAGAAACCAAATAAAGCGAATGTTATAGGCCTTTATGCGCGACGCGATCATCCGCGTTTCATTGAACCGAAGTACACGCAGGCCTCTTCATCGCCGACTCGGATCATGTAATCTGCCCCTACATCTTCTGAACCCTCTATGTGCTTCACAATCGAATGACAATGATGAACATTATTTCAGACAACATCTCATTAGCCTTGAAGGTTAAGTTTACGTTTCTATGTACATATACATAACTTTTATCCGCGCTCGAGGTGGTCGTGCTCTTGGGGGAGCCGTTCGAAGCAACCAGGGCAGACAAAAGTGGGTACGGTCGCTACACGGACGCCTGTTTCCCGTTAGTCTACACCTCGGAGGCATGCCATTGTCGTCACCGCGTTCTACGGAAACGGGTCTCCGAACCACGTCGTGTCGCTCGGCCGAAAGGCGCTGCCTCGCAAGGCGCCCCGCGCTTCGAGCAGGACAATGGAGCGAAGGAGGTCGGCTCTTCCGAGCTCCACGAACAAATGCCTGCCTGGCCCCGCTATCTGTCGGGCGGTTTGAAGCATAGGAACCCACTCGACTGGCGAATGCCCCAAAATGCAAACGAAGCTTTCGTTGCCTCGATTGCTGTTTGGCAACTAGCGATTTTCCGGGTTGCTTTGCACCCTTGCTTTTCCTTGTGCTTGTGCAGCGTCTTTTTCTTTTTGGACGTTGCCCAGTGCTCACTTTTGAGAAGTCCGCTTGCAACATTTGCAGAGCAGAACTGGTCTCGCCTGTCTCATCGGCTGTAAGGTCTATACAGTCGGGATTTTCTGTTAATTTGTGGACACCCTGACTTGCGGGAAACTTGACCGATGGCTGAACAATGCAAGCGTCTTCCTCAGGGCTGCGCCGCTCGCACCTGGGAGAACTACTTGCCCCAACATTGCCCAGCTCGCAGTGCGCGTCAGCACCCGACTGTGCCCCGCTCTCTGTACAGGGGTCCTCACCTGCCGGGCCGGAGGTACTGCGAACTTCACATTTAGCTGCTATGGCGACGCACAAACAGGGTGGCTGTGCCAAGTCCATTACAGATGGCATTTCTGCATTAACAAGACTCTCCAGACACAGCGCCTCGTGGCCATCACATGGGCCTTCAGTGGCCTTTGTGGCCACAACGGGACTTTCAGCAGCTAACATTTTAGGTTCACTCGTGAACCCGATGTTCTCCCCAACAGTACTATTACCTTGGCCGGCTTTCAGTGGTCTGGCACCTACGGGCTCTTTGCCCCTTTTGTGCCCTGCACCCCATGTCTCAAACATGTGCCGTCTACCTTCCATTTTCTGGCGCAGTAGCTGAACATGATCCTGGTAAGACTGCTTGTTTGGGACACGGTCGGTCACGCTACTGGGCGTTCTAGCGGCTAAGCTGAGACCCGACTGCGTGGCACACAGTCCCAAGCGCTCTTTTTCTCTCTGAATTCTAAGTCTTGAATTTTCTCGCTCCTGTTCCATCGAATATTCCAGATGTTGCCTGTACCTAATGCGTTCGGCATCGTGCTCCTCTTTAAGCCTATTTCGTTCTTTTTCAACGAAATTATATAACTCCTTGCCTACAAAGCCAAAGGCTTTGCCCTGTTCAATAAGCCTGTCAAACTGCGTGCCGTCCATTGTTACCAACAGTTGACCACCAACAAAACAATAAAAGGACGTCTACATACTGGACGCTCAGAGTTACGTCAGTCTCCCAGACATCACCACGTGGTCGGCCAGTCCTGTCGCGCGGACGCCAGATAATGTCACACACTTCCGTTGAGGCCCTGCCGATCCGACATCGACGTGCGGCAGACTCGCAGGCTTCCACTTTACGCTTCGGCCTGCGACGCCTGAAAGGCCTCGAAGTGGCGCATTTCGAATTTATTTGTAGGTTGGTCGACCCGCGCGGGGTTGCACGTGTGGTGGTGAATGAGCCTGATCGACGCACTCATAGAGCAGACACGGAGTTTGATTACACTTAAACAAACATTTAATTAAAACAGGGGCAAAGGCAGGAGATTACAAAAATAACAAAAAAGGAAGAACTGATACGTGCGATAAAAACAACAGCTACATAATAAAATGTGCTAAACACACTACAAAAGATACAGGCTAAAGACAAATATGCGGAACATTAATAAAATAACAACAAGATGGAAATCGTAAAAGAGGGTTACAAGGAAATAATTACAAAATGCTCATGGTGGCGCTTTTGAATTTCAACGTGCGACGCAGCGCACCCTACAAATATTTAAAAAAAAAAGGCTGGTTAAAATATATTAGCAGTTTAAAAAAAGTCACAATAAAAAGTTCCATACGGACCAGGCCAGCTCTTGGTGCACGTAGGGGAGTTGACGGGTGCCGCTGAAGGTCTCGCCGGCTTGGTAGACGACGATGGTGCCCGGAATTGCAGCCGTCTCAATACGTTGCACGGGTCACTCCATGCTCGCCGCCTACACGAGACTCGCGACACCGACGACCGCACTTGTTGCTGGCTGTACGTCAACTGCCTATTCCGATGCAGTCCAAACCTCTTCAGGGGCGTACACGTGACCCCGTCTCATCTGGGGGTAATTTTCCTTTTTTAGGCCGCCGGTTCCCCTTTTGGTACAGGTGCAGGGAAGACAAGCCGGCGCCACGCTGGGTCCTTAGTCGCCGGATGTCGTCCCCCGAACACACAAGCGCCCCTCTTTGGAAGATGGGGCCCGCGGATAATCCGAAAATTGGAGTCGTTTGTGACAGAGACCCATCACATTCGCGCGGAAAGCTCTCTCCACGACTACTAAATCTTGAACTTTATTCACCACATCAAATCCCCCTTTTTCATTTTTTTCTTTTCAGATAAGATTTTTACCTATTGTGGACGCTAACATTACTACGAATGCGTTTCTGACAAATTACCCGAGGCTGATGTTTTGCCAAGGTCGATTCACACCGAAGCCAACGATATACGGATACACCAAGAACGCTGGATCCCTTCGCTACTTTGGTGAGATAAACGTTCGCATTGCTTGGCTCAGGCCCTAATCGAAATTGTACGGTAAACCTTATTTACGCTTATGATATGCATAATTTTAGTGTTAGTGTTTTACGAGACTGCGGACCCCTATCACATCCAGTTCATTATTAGCTGTGCCTGCGTCTGTAATGAGGTCGTAATTCACATGTTATATTACAGAGAGGATATACCAGTTGGAGAACCCCAAAAGCGTCGACAGCATAGTGCAGACTTATCTGAACGAGTTCTTCGAGGACGAAGACTCGCGTGTTGGTGTCACGGCGGCCGTGAGATTCCAGTATTACAGGCCACGGAGCAGTCTTTCGAACGCCACAAGGAATGCAGTCAACACGATAAACGTACGTACGCTTTTGTCCTGTTTTGTCATGGCAGAGGATAGACGGCAGTTCGAGGGAGGGGGCATTTGCAGGAAAAGAGAGGAAGTTAGGCGGATTGGCAATATGCAAAACTGGCTAAGTACAGGCTAAATTCTGGGTGAGTGTGAAAATAAGGGACAATGTGAACGGCAGGCGATCTTTCTTTGCTCCTGCTTAACCCAATATGGATTCGAAACTGCCTCACGGACCTTCAGACAGGAAGTGACGAGGAGAGGAAGAAGTAGTTCTGACATTGTGGCGGTGACCTGCAAAGGCTCCCACAGGGTTCTAGTCTTAGACCATCCCATTAAGTTAAGACATATACACTCAAACTTATTGTGTAAACACGAACGTAATTGCATTAGATCTAAAAGCCATTTTTCCGACTTTTTCGTTGCTTGAACCAAAAAGCATGCAAGATCTCTAGCTCAGACTGTACAGACGAGTCCACAGTTAAAAGAAACACTTACTGGCAGACCATGTCGCTCTCTTGCAAAAGCACGGGGGCTTAGATTTTCATAACACTGCTGTTGATTGACAGTTCAGTCCATTTTTGAGAGGCTTCCTCGAGCGATGTTTCTACATTCAGTTGCAGCAGCGGGGCCGGCGTTGGGAAAGCTCATTCGAGTGTTCCGTATAACAGTTGACCGTACTGTACATAGAATAAGTGATACCTGCGTGTACAGAAGAAAGATTTCCGCATACGCGATTTTCGCTCGTGTGTCCTGCCTGTTTTGACAAGTTTGCTCTGATGACTTGAAAAATATTACCATAAGACAAACTTCCTGTGCCTTTCGGAAGCTGTGAACTCGCCTTGCTGTGCTCGTTATTATTTAACGCTGTTCTAGGCAATTTGTTCGAGCAGCTTATCTACCTGAACAAAGGCTCGAGCGCTTGTTCCTGATCTCTTTCTGCCCCGTGTTTTGTGAAGAGTTCATCTAATTCATACTAGAAAATTATTGCTCCTTTTGCAACAGTACTACTCCACTAATGATTCCTTGCACCACCCCTTGTTCTCTCGACAGATGTTAACGGACTTTCTTGTGGGCGCTCCCGTTGAAATGGCTCTGTCTGGCCACCTGCGGCTTCTACAAAGTACCTCGTATACGACTCCCAACCCGGCTTTTTTCTACATATTCGGAATACCTAATGCCCCAAGGACTTTTGCAGACCTTCAGAAGGGCTCTAGGGAGCTTTACGGTGAGGCCCAACACACGCATATATCCCCCAGTTTCTTTCTCACGCTTGTACTACTCTGCATTACTGGCGGACAGTGCAGCTAGTGCTTGTGAATGACATTGGGTACGTGCGGGTTATTTTATCCAGGAGCTACGTACATGGACGACATGCTCTATTCAGTCAACACTGAAGGTCTGGTGCAGACGACTGACCCAGTTCGGGACCCTCTCATAGTTGGCTACATGACCACTTTCTTCACGGCCTTCATCAACGGACTGTGAGTCGTTTCATTGGCATTTTTGGTGTATATAGGAATATGGGATGATGCGTGTCATTTCATTTCATAAATACAAGTTGAGCAGAGCAGCGTTGCGCGTAAGACGGAATGCGTGAAATGATATGATGTCACACACATTAAGCAATGATTCGTTTTTAACGCATTATTCGAGATGTGACCATAGCTATATTTTTACGAGCAAAGAAATACTACTTCACTGCTTGGTTCTTTCTCGTTACGGTAGTTTTACTTCTGAAGTAATGTATCTTTAGCACTAGTATTTAGATGATGCATTAAACACGTCAGTTAATGTATGATTACACTTGCATTATTAATTAATAGTAAAGTGATAGTTTGGCCAGGGCAAAGATAAAAACCATTATTGGTCACACGTCATAATCGGATAAAAATAAAACTCTTTCATGTTAAAGGCCTTACCGGTCCTCTTGAGCTTCTCGCATATACAGGGTGTGCCACATGAATTTAGCCCGAGTTTTGAAATATGCTGGAACACGTAATTACGACGCGACCAGATGCATGTTGTTCACCGTTGCCTGGAGTCAGTCAGACTATTTTTTGTGTTTGCAAATATTGTTTAGTTAGATATGTTTAATTAACCAACTTTTCAAGAAACGAATATAGATAAAAAATTTCAATGAGAATGTTGTAGATTGGTTTGCAAAACGTCCCAATAGATAGTCTTAAACTTTATATCTGTTAAATATTAGTGTTTTCTGCCAATCACAAATGCCCACGAAATATAAAAAATACCACGTGACAAACACGCTCGCACGTCAGTGCGCACGACGACTCTAGGGCTCCCTAACGTTCGGCGTACGAACGACACACTTCCATCGCACCGGTTCATGACAGCGATAAGCAGTCACAGTGGTTATCTTTTTTGTGGCCGGTAGCAAAACGTGTTGATCGTAAAGCCACCACCACCGTTGCGGCCCTACCGAGACAGCACAATGAGGCAAAGGCTATGGTCCTTCGTACGCGGAACGTTAGAGAGCACTAGAATCATTGCGCGCCCTGGCGCTCGAGTAGGTTTATCACGTGGTATCTTTTGGTATTTTGCCGGCCTTTGTAATTAGCAGAAAAACACTAATACCTAACAGGTGTATAAAGTTTAAAACTTTCTAATCGGACGTTTTGCTAACCGAACTACAACATTCTCACTGAAATTTTTTTATCTATCTTCGTTTCTTGAAAAGTTGGTTATTTAAGCTTATCTGACTAAACAATATTTGCAAACACAAAAAATAGCCTGACTAACTCCAGGCAACGGTGAGCAACATGCATCTGGTCGCGTCGCAATTACGTGTTCTAGCATATCTTTAAACTCTGGCTTAAGTTACGTGGGACACCCTGTATAGTTGCGCAAACTTTACAATAGTCACGAGACAGCTCGTAATACCAAACTTGTGTACCGCAATGTGATGCAAACGCAACGTGTCGATGCTTCCAACTAGGCACGCTCGCTGAAAATGGCCTCGTTTTCGACGTATGTGGTAGTGAGCAAAAGTTGTACGTTTCTACATTTAGTTTGAAAACTTTGTAGACTGTTGAATACACTTGCTCAGATGTCTTGTTACGTTGGTTTTCATTGCATATGAGACGAGGCAGCGCTCGATTTGCTAAGTAAAGACTCATATTTCTAAGGCTCAACTTCAAGTACAATGTCATTGGGCTGTCTCGGCTTAGCCTTTCGCCAAAGCTATGGTCATGAATTGCACGCATTATGCCGGCGTCTACATAATGAGCTATCGTGAAATGGGCAGCTAGCGTTGAGAGTTAGGAGATCAACGGGTCTGAGAAAACTTTTTCCCATCTATTTCGAATTATTTTGCTGGCCAGCACCGTGCATCTTATTAGCACGTTTGAGAACAGGACGTAAATCTTCAATCAGCACTGCCTACTGAAGCAGCGGGAAGATTCAGGTTTTTCTCATCTCATGGTGCATAAACTTTTGTCGCTGACTGTGCACTTATGAAGACCTCACATGCGCATCGTTAACGAGTCATGAACGCAACACGTGCAGGAATCCCGGAGGCATTCTGCAGCCCATCAACCCAGCGCTGCGTCAGTACACCAACATGTCTCTGACGTATCCGGCCGGCGTGTCCGACAGCGTGCCGTACCGTCCTCAGGAGATGGACTTCTGGAACTACTTCGTACCCGACCTGCACCTGGAGCTGAACCGCACCAGTTGGGCGTCGTACCACAACGCGCGAGAGGCGACCCACTTTAAGGCGGCCACATGGGGAACCACGACGCTCGTCGTCTTGCTGGTCCTCATCATCGTGGGGCTGCTGGCAGCCTTCTTCGTCTACCGCAGACAGAAGCAACGGTCGCGAAAGCTCAGTTCTCGAGAAGGCGTCGAGTTCCGACCGGTCAATCAGGATGTCAAGTTGTAGGGCTGCGTTAACCACTCTTCTCCGGCAGGGCTACTTAAGAGCCCTATGAAGCATTCGGCGGGAGGGCTACGTGCGTAAGGTCTGCCTCGGTAGATCAATGGCTAGGTTGCTCTGCTGTTGACCCCAAGTTGGCGGCTTCGATCCCGACAGCGGCAATCGCATTTCAATTAAGGCAAAACGGTAGAGGCCCGTGTACTGTGTGATGTCTGTGCACGTTAAAGAACGCCGGATGGTCAAAATTTCAGTGGCCCTTCACAACGTCAATTGTCATAGTCATAACATAGTTTTGGGACGTATGACTTCACATATTAATATTATTATATTATCATTATATTATTACATGTGAAATGAAACCTTGCCGAGGAGAAACAGTGTGTTAACTTATTCACCTAATTGCCTCGACTGAGCATGATGTGTCAATACTGGACTATAATATGCTCTCACCGTCACACTAATCTCTTCGCTACTTTCACCTACATTGAAGTTGTTGGTATTTCATGATTCATTTTGTGCAGAAGTTTTCCTTTAACGGTAACATCGTGACCTTGGCTGATCAGTAGCCGACGCATTTACCGGCTTAGGTTTTTTTTCTATTTTCATCTGTACATTATGCTCTAATATCCTACCGTTGAGATGTAATAATCAGACAAACGTTCTACATTTCTAGGGCTTTTTCCGCTTCCTACAGGTTCATTTGCTTTTTGTCATCTTCTAACAGTATATATCAGGCTTGCATACCACTTCGGTGCATGGTGTGACCTACTTAATGAGCTTAACTCACATAATCAATCGACAGAGAGTTAAGCGGGTTGGTATGCGTCTATGGCCGCAAATTATTGACGACCGGACAAAAAAGTGATACCTTAGTGCAAGAAAACCGCAGCTGGTCACCTGTACAGGACTGGCTCCGATATTCATGTTGTCAGATGATGCACGCTGCCTATTTGCGTTTTCATAAGTTGCAATGCGTCCGCACAGCGCATGTTTCTCTGATGGGCACTTTAGTTCCATAATCTGTGCCATAGTGAAGGTCGTTCGAATGACGAATAAAATCGAGAAGATGACACAAAAGAAAAAAAAAAGATATTTCGATTTTCAGATCATCAATCTCCCCATGCTGCAGGTTCAGGCTAGCTTGATTGAGAGTATAGCATCGAAATGAAAGTCGCGAAAAAAGAAAGATAGACCACGCTGTTACTTGTTTAGTCTTGATTTGTACAGCGACGAGATCCGTTTTTCTTGAAGATTTTCTTGGCAAAACAACAGTGTTTCGTTTTCAAGCTCGTAAAATATTCTGGTCTAAATCTATGACACTCGGCCAGCCAGAATTTTTTTGAAAGCCTGCCGTTAAGCACAGTACTACACGGTGTCATAAATATACACACAGATATGTTTCATGTACGAAGTTGCGGCGGCTGCATTTCCGATGGAGGCGGAAATGTCGAGGCCCGCGTGCTCAGATTTGGGTGCACGTTAAAGAATAGTGTGCTGTGAAACATTACGCTTATCCTGCGATCAAGGTGGGTTGCTTGGTCAGGGCCGAGTTTTGTGCTTCAGAGGGGTCAAATACGGCCTAATTGTAGGCCTGTACAGCCGCAGTCACGTCTGTGCAGAGCACTCGAGCAGCCGGTCAGAGCCGAGCTTTGTGCTACAGAGGGGTCAAATACGACCTAATTGTAAGCCTGTTACAAGCTCATAGCAAGTCTGTAGCAGTCACGCAGTGGATCGGGGCGTTACATAATGGTCGCGATGTACAGTCGAGCACGGCTTGAAGGTTATCTCTAGAGCGTTGACGAAGTACTGCTGCAGCGCCTCGTCCCAGGCTACTTTTTCGAGAAGAGGCTGATATCAGGCATGCTTCACTCACTTTTTTTGCGGTTCCTTAAGCTGCAATCACTCACGTCTGAGGAATCTGTTTAAACAAAGCAGTGCCAAGCAGCTGCTTTAGCACACACTTCCCAGCAATCTTGTAATCGCCCGTGGTGATAAGAGCACATGAAGAATGAATACACTTGATCGCAGCAAATGGAGGCTCAAAGTATAAGGAAGGTAATTCAGTTCGTCGTAGGGGTAATTTCTGTTGCATAGAACAGCCAACAAGGGAGAGAAAATGAGCAATCTCAATTCGCACTGTTCCAAACATGCCGCTAGGCCCCAGAGAGGTTAGGCTGGTGAACGCTCACGTGATAATCCTAATATCGCACGTGACTGTATCATATTGGCCACGATAATATTGCACCCTGAATGTGGTCACAGATGACCGCCATAATCAGAATGTACATGCGCGAGTCCCTGGGCGATTGCCGTTCTTGAATATTGTGAAATAAGGTGTGTCATTAGCGGTAAGTTGCACCTAATTATGTTAGACTGAGCATGATATATATGAAATCAAGATGCATTTGCTTTTTTACGCAGATACATCAGCTTTGCTAGTGAACCTTTACCTTTTATGAAATGAGTCAGTGAGTGCAATCTACGTCGCTCTACTTTTTTATAGCTATTCAATGTTTTAATTGATTCACCGAATCGACAAGACCGATACGAACTTATACGAGAGGTCCTGACTTGTCGGTAGGTTGTGTTGGTGTTTTGAGGCGAACAGCAGTATTTTTCGCCTGGTCACGATGGTATGGAAATGACACAGTTCTCTAGAGGGGATGCTGGAGGCTATCGCCGTCTTTGCTGCAAATGCCGAAGTACAATGACGAGGCTTGAACTTTCAAGTTGATTTTCATACTCTGTGACGATTACTTTGCATGCAATCGCAAATGCAGCTGTCTGACAGCGCAACTATCAACCTATTGCTGACTCATTGCAGTGTGGATACAGTATGCCATGATATTTTTTGTTTTTTTTCTCCCCTTCATGTGTTTTTCTTTCGAAAATACATTTCTTTTTTTTTTCATTAAGGATAAAGGGTTTGTTCAAGTGTTTAAATATGCTTAGTCGTGGTGACTATTATACTGTTGTCTTCACATTAAAAGTTTCAATGAACGTAGTATTTATATATTGTAACCTGTGTATGGCATTTCACACCGACAATTGCGGTACAAAAACGGCAACTAGATAGAATTTACACTTGCTCTAAAAGGAACCTGCCACACATAGGATCCTTTTTGTAAAAGTGCAAGTAAACAAGTCACTTCGCCTACATTATGCTCCCTGATGACGCCTTACAAGTTCTATATTGTAGGAGCAAATGTCTTCATTATGTCTTAGTAATTTTGCTCATTGTCACAGAGAGGCCCGGAATACACATGGTGATTAAGTTTTCATGCTGCAATATCTAACATTTATTATGTTGTTAAAATCATTATAAGCTTCGGTCATTTTACTATGACCATTACCGTAGCGATTCTTATTGTCTCATTTGTGCTAATGTACGTGCTCATATACAGCGATTTCGAACCATCCGAAATGTTTTGTCACCTTGTGTATATTTCTATGTTTGGGGGATGTTCACCTATGTTTCCATTCTTGTCTCTTTGCTCCACAATGATGCGTCTGCTTCAATTCCCGTTGAAAGGAAACAGGACAAAGGCGGCTGGACCGCACGCATCGTCTCGGAAATCACGTGTACTTCATTAAGAAGACGTTTTTTTTCCTTCATTGAAGAATAAAGCTATGTCAAAAACGGCGGGTCAGACCAGAAGTGTTCCTCGAAAGGACCTTAAAATGGTTATGATGATTTCTTACAAACACATTAGACCAGGTAGACAAAGTCCCAATGGTCATTCACAAACCAATTTGAGCTCTCTGCTCGAACTGTGTGATTTATTACAACACTTTAAAGCTCCGAAGCCCAGCGGATCGCTCTCAGATTGTTGCGACTCGGCCGAATGCGTTTTCAGCCACCGATTCACAGAGCGACATGCTCCATTCACTTGACGTCACCATGGCTGCTGCTTCGATTGGCGGCGGAACGCGCGGCACGGGTGCCATGAAGGCGAAGATTAGCCCCAAGTGCTCGAAGGAAAAGTTGAGGTAGTTGAGAATGCAAGACAAAGCCATGGAGAAGGGTAGAATGGTACCTATTTATTACTCGTAGCTCCGTTAATAAGAAGAGTTTCGATAGAATTCCGGTGCCGATGATTTGCTCCGGTAGTAGTGTAATCAAAAACGGAATGTGAGAAAGCCATTTCAAGGACCCTTTAATTGTACTGCTCTTACAGACAACTATTTAAACTGCCTAAAATGTATTCTAAAGGCTGAGCGTGTAAGTATGCACACAAAAGAGAGTCAAGACACCACAAATGCCAACTAACCTCTGTTGCGAGTGTCGCTGCACTTGCAGCACGTGATGATTGCACTTGCAGCATATCATACGCTTGCGGCGCGCGATTGACTTGCTTAAGCTGGCAAAGTCCGAGCCGAATGATTTTGATGTAGTCGCCAATATGCCGACGTGTGGCTTTATGAGAAAGAGCTTTTCGCTCTTTATGGAGCCCGCGCATGCCTTCAAATGTGCCAATCGTTTCAAAAGCTTGTTTAGCTCTAACTCAAGGCTAATGAAAGAACACTTTATTAACAAATTCAGTTAGCGAAACTAAAACGTGTTCTTCGGCTAGTTGGAACATGCTTACTAAAATACAGAAAATATGATTCTATCAAGGAAGGATTGAAGACAGAGCGTAAAAAGGTGCCCTTTGCTGTTTTATTTTGCATGCTTCTTTGATAGTACGATCTTGTATTTCAGTAGGAAAAAACGGAAAAAAACGCTTCAGGGGTTTCTTGAAACTCAAAGTGAGGTGCACTGTGGACAATTTGCAAACATTGCAGAGCCATCGTTTATAACCATGAATGAACCGGTGGCCACGAATTAATTGGAACAGGCTAGATGGGGCTACTAAAAAAATTATTTTGGTGCAGGAGCTGTCAGGATGATCGGCGTGCTCATATAGTCTCTCCTTACAAGGTATAAACTGAGACAAAATGCGTATTACCTGTAAGTCAACGCACCTTCCTGTCTGTTGTTCCTCCTGTTGCTTTGGGCTCTCTACTGTATTCAGCGTCAATCAACTCGCCCAAATTGAGTTTTTGTTGGAAGTTTTGCTATCGCAAACGTCTCTATAAGTTGTTATGCTTCAAGTTCAGATCATTTTGGCTGGCTTAGCCAACGCCCCCTCTATTCTCTCAGATAGGGTAAAAATAACGATTTATGGCTAAGTCACTGGTCACTGTAGCACACTTTTTAAAGTGCGATTATCATGACAGACGTTGAAGCTTATATTGTTCTTCTTCTTGTTGCCCTTTACTTGTGGCTCATCCTACTTCAATACAACAAAAGCCCCCTCGTTTTTCTTCAAAATTCGATTGCCTTTATATTCCGTTTTCAGTGCATATTTAGTTATTACATGAAATCAGTAAAATATCAGAAAGATGTAAGCATAACAAACAATGACAAGTTCTTTTTTCAAATCAAATTACTACCTATGCTCACAACCGCTTTATTCCTTACCCACCAGCCATTTCAGGGTATGATAATCCCAAATATCATCACAATCTTCATCACCATCACCGCTATAGGATGAGAATGAAGAAGAAGAAAAAGAAGTTGAAGAAGAAGAACACGAGCGTCGGTGGTATCTCGGATTGCTCTATCTGTGGTCTTCATTGGTTTTAAAGTGCCAGAAGTAAGTCCGCCGTCAAGAGCGACAATGCCCTGGAAAGCTCTCTTCATGCCGGCGAGGCACATGTCGAGGGACATGTTTACCTGTGAGTACTTCGACTGCAACGATGCCTTCGGACACGGTGCCTTCCAGAAGCGGCTGATGATGCTGTGTGCCCTCGGTGCCTTCTTGGCGAACATCCACGCCTTGGCTTTCCCGCTGATCTCAAAAAGCGTGCAATACAGGTGCAAGCAGCCGTACGCCAACGATTCGAATGCCTTCGGGAAGAACGGGGCAGCTCGCGACGATAGCGGACAGATCGGAGAGTGCCTTGTCTACGAGGACCCCGCCGACCCTAACGACACGCAGACCGTGCCGTGTGTCGAGTGGGAGTACGACGAAGACCGGGCGAAGAGTACGGCCGTGAGTACCTGGAACATGGTGTGCGGAAGAAAGCCACTCATCGTCGTCATGTACGCAATTCAAAACACCGGTCCCGCCGTGTTCGTCTTGACAGCCGGGTATTTCGCGGACAACTACGGCCGAGTGCCTGTGCTGTTGACAGCGATTGCGGTGCTAACAATCTCGACGGTAGCGGTTTGCGTGTTTCGTGACTATGCAGTGCACGCGGTGTTCAAGTTCTTCAGCTCGGGCAGCTCCATACTGACCATGACCTCCTCCGCCATTTCTCTCTTCGAGGTGACAACCCACGACAACAGGCCGCTCAGCATAGCTGTGAGCATCACCATTGGCCTGTTGGTCGCCGATTCGTGGTTCTTCCTCCTGGTGCCTTGGAGTCTGCGCTGGGAACGAAAGTTAAGCGTTTTCCTTCTGCCAGCCCTGGTCCTGCTGCCAACGTTCCTGCTGGTCCACGAGTCGCCACGCTGGCTCATTGCTACCGGGAGGTTCAACCGAGCAGAGGAGGTCGTAATTGCAGCCGCCGACAAGAACCACTTCCCGCTGGCTAACGCAGCGTGCCTCATCGATTCACTGAAAGAGGACACGACCAACAGGTTGAACAGGCGAAAGTCGACGTGCGCCGAAGAACTGCTCAGTCTGTTCTCCATGCGGCGTCGCGCCCTGGTCTTGTGCGGCTGCTTCTTTTCAAACTCGTTTGCCCTGTACGCCATCACCTTCTCCAAGGGTCAGCTCTACACGCCGTGGCTCCCGTTCATCGCGTTCTTCTTCAACTCCTCAGTCTACGGGCTGGCGCACTGGCTCATGAGAAGGTTTGCCATGCTCACGGTGATCACCATACTGTTCGCGGTGCTGTGCATCGTACAGTGCTTTCTCTGCCTCACCGTGTTCGGCGAGTACGATGTCGCCACGGAGGCCCTGTTGCAGGCGGACATAGCGCTGTACTACTCCGGCGCCGTGGTGTGCTTCGTCTACGTCCTGGAACTGTTCCCGACGGCACTGCGTGCGACCGCCGTAGGTTGGACTGTCGCTTGTGGTCGTCTTGGAGTAGGATGCGCCCTGTTCTTGTCCATGCTCATAAACAGCGGACTCAAGTACGTGCCGCCGGCTGTCGCCGGCCTTCTGCTTTTTCTGTCACTGCTTACGCTGCGCATATTGCCGCCCGCCACGACAATCGAGTGCACCAAGATCGCGTGCCAAGAAACAACGTATAGGGACACTCAGAACATTGAGCTCATGAAGGCCACGCTCGATACCCGGCTGAGCGAGCGCAAGAAGGCGAAGACCCCTTCTGAGAGCACAAACAGGTCCACTTCAAACCGCAGCCGCCGTTTGAAGGGAAAGGAATGACGTGAAAAACTGTGGGCAAAGAATGCCCCTTCCGCGCAGACAGTATTTTATTTCATTTGTTGCACTACGCGAGGCCACATAGTTTCGTCCCCTGATATTTGATATAGCACTTTATAGCACTTTTTTAATTTTTCATGTCTTAGCTATTTCTAAAGTATTTAGTTATCACCAATATATTACTTTTCTATAAAGACACATGCCATTGTATTATTGTATTTGAAAGACGCAATCTGGGAATATAGCCAATAGGTTGATGTTATCACTCATATTGTTGTTTTATTTCAACCTAATTCGCTGCTCCGGACCACTCGTGTGCTTCGCACTCCTGTGCAACCATGTTGGCCGTGTTGCATAGTTTAAACAATATTGTCACGACACAGACACAGCAGGAGTTCGATGAAGAGCTCACTTTAATTAAAATGAAAGGCGCTCGTAAAGAGGACCGGGCAAGAGCTTCGTCTTCCTCTTTGGCTGTGCGAGCTCTCCTCTGCAGGTTGAATGCGGCATTTGCCTCCCTCCAGGAAGAGCATCGACCCGATGCTCGGCTACAGAATATGCGGTGTATGTAGTTGACGTATTACGCAACTGGCTCACTGTAATATGGCTTCATCCGCACAACGTGTACGATTTCAGATTATTGAGCTCGCGAGGAACTGTCAGGGATGACCTCATAGTTCACGTCACTTAGGCGCCGTATAACATTGTAGGGACCAAAGTACTTCTTCAGTAACTTTTCACAAAGGCCGCGTCGGCGAATAGGGCTCCAGACCCTCACTTTCTCGCCTGGTTGATAAGTGACGTATCGGTGTCGCAGGTTATAACGTTGTGTGTCGTAACTCTGCTGTCGGGCGATTCACACGCGTGCTAGCTGCCGTGCCTCTTCAGCTCGTTGGGTAAAGGCTTGAACATCCGTGTCTGTATCCTCGCAGTCGTGCAGCAGCATGGCATCAATCATTGTCGTCACTTCACGGCCATAAATAAGACTAAATGGCGTGCTCCGTGTAGTTTCCTGCTGCGCCGTATTATAGGCAAACGTCACGTATGGTAGAACGTCGTCCCAATTTTTATGATCCACGTCGATGTACATACAAAGCATACCAGCAATTGTCTTGTTGAGGCGTTCTGTTAAGCCGTTGGTTTGTGGGTGGTAGGAGGTAGTTTTTCGATGCGCTGTTCCACTCCACTCAAGCACCGACTTGAGGAGCATGGCCGTGAAAGCGGTACTTCTGTCTGTTGTTATAATTCTAGAAGCACCATGCCTCAGAACGATATTTTCAATGAAAAATCGTGCCGCTTCTACTGCGGTTCCACTTGATAAAGCCTTTGTTTCTGCGTGGCGAGTAAGATAGTCTGTAGCGACAATTACCCACTTATTTCCAGTATGCAGAGTCGGAAATGGTCCAAGGAGATCCATTCCGATTTGTACAAAAGGCATGGTGGGCACTTGAACTGGTTGCAACAATCTGGCTGGTTTTAAAGGTGGCGATTTTCGTCGTTGAGAATCGAGGCACGTGCGGACGTAATGCTTTACAGTGCCTGGAAGCTTCGGCCAGTAGTACTTTTGTTGGATTCTGGCCAATGTGCGCGTGTATCCGAGGTGGCCGGAGGTTGGCTCATCGTGGCAAGCGCTCAGGATCTCATCGCGAATGGATGTCGGGACGACAAGTAAGTGGGCATTTCCGCTGGGGGCAAAGTTCTTCTTGTATAGGACACCACTGCGCAAGCAGAATGATGGCAGGCTTCTTGCAAATATCTTGGGAACGCTTGTAGACTGGCCGTTAAGAAAATTAATAAGAGGGAGCAACTCACTGTCTTCTTTCTGCTTAGACGAAATGGTGACCGTGTCGACCACTCCTAAAATGCCATGTCATCATCTTCTGAGACATCATCTTGCTTTATAGGCGACCTGGATAAGCAATCAGCATCAGAGTGCTGTCGTCCCGACTTATAGACGACCGTCATATCGAATTCTTGTAGGCGTAAGCTTCAGCGCGCTAGCCGACCAGATGGGTCCTTCAAGTTGGTCAGCCAGCAAAGAGAGTGGTGGTCGCTGACTGCGTGCAAGGGACGGCCGTAGAGGTATGGGCGAAACTTCAGAACTGTCTATACTACAGCAAGACATTCTTTTCCGTTGTGGAATAATGGGACTCGGCACGGGAAAGCGTCCTCCTTGCATATGCAATCACTCTCTCGGCTGAGTCTTGCCACTGGGCGAGTACAGCGCCTAAACCTACGTTGCTGGCATCAGTGTGGATCATGGTTGGAGCGTCCTCGTCAAAGTGATCAAGCACAGGGGGTGTCTGCAGGCGCTGTCGTTGACCGTCAAATGCTGCTTGTTCCTCTTCGCCCCATAAAAATGGAACATCGTCTCTCGTTATGCGTGTTAAGGGCGACGCGATGAGCGAGAAATTGGCGATAAATCTGCGGTAGTAGGCGCAAAGGCCAAGAAAACGTCTTACGGCCTTCTTTTCTGTTGGCACCGGAAATTTTCGGACGGCGTCGATTTTGTCGGGGTCCGGACGAACACCTTCATGGCTCACTACATGTCCTAAGAATCGAAGTTCCTTGAAACCGAAATGACATTTCTCAGGTTTCAGTGATAAACCAGCGGACCATATTGCTCGAAATACTAATAGCAGCCGTCTTTGATGTTCCTCGAATGTTGGTGAGAAAACAATGACGTCGTCGAGGTATACCAGACACGTCTGCCACTTAAGGCCTGATAGGACGGTATACATCAGTCTCGGAAATGTTGCTGGGGCTGAGCACAATCCGAAGGGCAAGACTTTAAACTCGTAAAGCCCGTCAGGCGTAACAAAAGCAGTCTTTTCTCTGTCCCGCCGACCTCGATTTGCCAATAACCGCTTTTCAGGTCCATCGACGAGAAGCGTGCATGCCTCAGCCTGTGAAGTGAATCGTCAACACGCATTAGTGGGTATACGTCTTTCTTTGTCACGTGGTTCAGCTTGCGGTAGTCCACACAGAAGCGTAAGCTACCGTCTTTCTTCTTAACTAGCACTACCGGTGATGCCCAAGGGCTTTTTGACGGCTGAATTATGTCATCATTGAGCATTTTCTGGACTTGTTCTTGGATTGCTTCGCGTTCTTTCGGTGCCACGCGGTATGGGTTTTGTCGAATTGGTCTTGCCGTCTCTTCCGTTATAATTTGGTGCTTTGTCAGTGGCATTTGATTTACCCTCGAGGTCGACGAAAAACAATCTTCAAATTGGCCGAGAATATCTAGAAGACTCTGCCTCTGCGCTGGCGATAAATCTGTGCTCACGTCGACAGGCAGTGGTGTTGAAGCGGCCGGCGTCTCTGCCTGTTGTACTGTGAAGCACTCGCGGAATTCTACAATTTCTTCGAAGTATGCAACTGTGGTACCCTCTGAAATGTGTCGACGCTCGTTGCTGAAGTTTTTCAACAGGACCTCTGCTTGCCCAGACACTACACTGACGAGACTTCTGGCAATAGCGATTCCTCGAGAGAGTAAAAGCGTCGATATTTGTTCCGCGACACCTTCTCCACTATGCTGCGTGTTACACGTGACAGAGACGAGGCGGCATGACAACGGTGGCATGGTCACGTCGTCAATCACGCGCATGGGCTTGCGCTGCAGCGCTGCGCTATGGTCCGCTGAGAAGGTCAGTACACCGTCCGGTATATTTATAATGGCACCGTACTCCCGCAGGAAATCCATACCCAAGATGGCCTGTTTACAACACTCAGTAAGAATAACGAAGGTTGCCACGAATGATGAATCCCCGATCTTGATTCGTGCGGTGCAGCTGGCCTCCGGCTCCTCTAATTTGCGGCCCCGTCCATTCCATTTTTACCTTCTTGAGTTGGTCGGCCAGATTCGCACTCATTATTGAAAAGTCCGCACCAGTGTCGACCAGTGCGGTCACGTCGTGACCGTCAATTGAAAGTGTAATGTCGACGGTGACAATCTCGTCTTTCGTCGGTTCATTCGAAATGTGCGGCACTTCATGCGGCGGTAATGGGGGATTTTCAAATCTTCGGCAATTCACAACCTTCCCCCCTAAGGTCGCTGCTTTTAGTTTCCCCGTCGTGGACTGGGAGACCTTCCTCTCGCCATGTCCGTGGTGCTACCTCTATTAGATCGGGGAAAATGACCTGGGGAGGGCGAGCGTGACCGGAACCCAGGAGAAACGTCTCGCGGGATCGTCGCGCTTGTTTCAACGTTGCGTCTTCCGTCAAAATAGCGCCGAGGGGGTAGTGGACGGAAATCCTTGATACCCGGCAACGCGATGAGGACAATACCGCACGTTGTGGCCTGCTTCCCCACGATGGAAGCACAGGGGCTTGTAGTTAGGGGTACGCCATATGTCGGTTTTGCGGAGTGGGGGTCGCATCGGCGTCGACGTTTCCCTGTAGTACCAAGGCACTGTCGGCAGCTGTTGCTGGTGGTACTGTTGAGGTGGCGGCACGTTAGATCTAGGCTGTCGACGGAGAATATCTGCATATGTTGGCCTAACTATTTCAGTGTTCGGCTCGGGAAGTGAGAGCGCTTGCCTTATTTCTTGGCGAACAACTTCTGTGACCGACGCAATGCGCAGTCATTCGGTGTGGCGGGGAGCTTCTTCACCTCTTCTTGCACAATTTCGCGTATCAGGTCACACAAAGAACGCTCGTCAGGAGTCACAGTGGTCACGGCGGTTGCGCTGATTTGTCCGCTGTTGTTTGGACGGTCGTACTGGCGGTACCGTAGCTGTAGTGCGCGTTCTATGGCGGTCGCCTCCTTCGAAAATTCGTCGATGCTTGAAGGTGGGTTCCGTACGAGACCAGCAAACAGCTGCTCTTTAACACCACGCAGGAGGTGGCTAATCTTTCTGTTCTCGGACATATCTGGATCGGCTCGATGAAAGAGACGAGCCATGTCCTCAACAAACATAGCAACAGACTCGTTGGGCTTTTGAATCCGTGATTCAAGGAGTCGTTGTGCATGCTCCCGCCTTTCGGTGTTTGCGAAGGTGTCCAGGAACTTCCGCCGGAACTCGTCCCACGTTGACCACACGCGATTCGTGAACCACGTGCGAGCCCTGCCTTGAAGAGGAAAATACACGTACCCCAACTTCTGTGCGGCGTTCCACCCGTTAACGTTGGCTGTGCGCTCGAACTCCTCAAGCCAGTCATCTGCGTCCTCATATGTGTTCCCATGGAAGTCCACAGGAGTTTTAGGGGTGAAAACAGTCACCTGTGTCGTGCTTGGGCTCGTCATGGTGGGGCAACTGCTTCCCGGCGCGGTCATGTTTTCCGTCCAAGGACCGAACGCTGGGCTCAGGCCTAACAGGCGGCGGCTGGCGCGGTGAACGGGTGTTTCGACGAGCGGAAGTCTTTGTGGACTAGATTCCGGGCTGTTGGAAGGTGTCCTGGACATGTACCCAGCTCCTCCACCAGTGTCACGACGCAGACACAGCAGGAGTTCGATATAGAAGAGCTCACTTTAATTAAAAATGAAAGGCGCTCGTAAAGAGAACCGGGCAAGAGCTTCGTCTTCCTCTCTGGCTGTGCGAGCTCTCCTCTGCAGGTTGAATGCGGCAATATATAACTATAGTGGAAGAATTCCAGGTATACATTGATTTCTCTACAGTGAAATCACCTACACTGTACAATCTTGCGTTCTTGCAGTTTCAATGCTTCACTTTATTTTACTGTAGCAACTTCTTTCCTGTGTAGGGTCACACCTTTTAAGGGAGATATTTGATTAGTATTCATGAGGTCGTAGCCGCCCTTGTGCTTTATAAAATTAGGAAAACATAATTATGGAAAGAAATGCCGTAGTTACAGTTGTAGTGGAGCATACGCACCAAAGCGTATGCGCCTTCGGAAGAAAACGAAAGGCCCGTGCTGTGATTGCACGAGAGCCTGTGCCGCCTTTGCCAGACTTACCATACGGCCATTTTTTGTTGCAACCTCGTTGCGACTTCTCTGCTCGAATAAACATTATCACACAAATAAATAAACCATGAGCCATTTTCCCCGAATATAAATTACCACCTGCATACACGCAAAGTAAAGAATATCTCGCAATTGACTCAGTGAATGGCTCGAGGAGGCGTATCAAAGTTTGAAAAGTTGCCGAGATTGCCGTCCGCACTGTCAACTTTATGTACCAATGAAGTTTGTATATTTCTTTAAATAAGCATCAAAATAGGTTCGGTAGTGTGTCCGACTTCCTGCAGCAAGTGTAGGAGAAAATCTCTAGCCCGCTTGGCAGCACATTGCGTCATAAAATCATTATACATACCTGTTTCAATACGTTATGTGCCCGACTGTGAAAGACACCCATTAAATTGCCTTTACGTTATTATTCGACTGTCCCCAAAATATCGACCAAAAGCGAAAGGCTAACGACAATAGAAACTATGAAAGTCCATGTCAGGGCAAAATGTGTCACAGGGCGTTCATTCTGAAGTTGGTACCACTGGCATTTTTTAGGGGGCGAAGCTCCTTATGGCATGAGTCTGTCGCTCCTCCTCCTCCTCCTCCTCCTCCGTATGTATGTATGTATGTATGTATGTATGTATGTATGTATGTATGTATGTATGTATGTATGTATGTATGTATGTATGTATGTATGTATGTATGTATGTATGTATGTATGTATGTACGTATGTATGTATGTATGTATGTATGTATGTATGTATGTATGTATGTATGTAGGTAGGTAGGTAGGTAGGTAGGTAGGTAGGTGGGTAGGTAGGTAGGTAGGTAGGTAGGTAGGTAGGTAGGTAGGCAGGTAGGCAGGCAGGCAGACAGGTAGGTAGGTAGGTAGGTAGGTAGGTAGGTACCCGCTATAGAGCGGGTATGTGCCGCTGGGGTTGCGAAATGGGAGATGGCGGTACTTGTATAGTGTTTACTAGATGGACGCACGAACGGACGCATGGACGGACGGGCAGACAGACTAGCAGACGAACGGACGGATGGACAGATGGATGGGTGGACTCACGGACGGGCGCACGGACAGTCGGACGGACGCATGGATTGACGCACGGATGGTCGCGCAGACGGACGGAAGCAAGAACGGATGGACGAACGGAAGCATAGACGGGCTGACGGGCGCTTCACCCCATTCATCATCCTTCACTCCGTAAATGTGCTGCGATTTTTTTCATTAAAAAAAAAATGATTGTGGATGTCATTTCAACTATAGTGTGCCCATGGCGACGGATATTCTGTTACACCTGTATTTTTGCACCTGTGGCGTACCTTTTGATCCGCAGTTACGCAACCAGTGTTCTCTTTGACCAGTCCATGCTTCACGCTGACAGCTACGTTAAAGAAAAGAACACTCACTCCGAAAGAATCACAAAACGCTTTATTTGGTAGCTTATATGCCTCAGTCGGTTGTGGACAACGGCCGACTTCGAGCATTGCAGAAGCCGTGCTCGCATTTCAACCTCAGCAGGCTGTCCCGCCTCGTGCATGAAATAAAACCTGTTAGTGGCAAAAATTGTTATGCCAGAACCAGATCACAGCTAAGCACACCTCGGGCTCTGAAAGAAGCAGGCCGCTCTTTTCAAATCTGATCATCATCAGCTAACCGCAACTGCGTAAACTTCGTGAAAACACCTGCTTAGACCTGCTCCGGCTTCGAAAAAAATAACATGGCTTTTCGCTTGAGCAGACAAGTATTTTGAATTGTAAGAAGACAACACAAGTAGAGGCATACCCTTGAGAAAAAAAAACTGCGAGGTTAATAAAAGACTAGCAATACACATGAAAATAAAACAGAACTCTCGCTTCACAGTTCGAAGCTTCATCAATGATAGCTACAACGGCGACGTGAGCCTGCAGGCACACGGTTCATAAGATAAAAATATTGCCTTGTCACATGTTTACGTAATGTTTGTTTGAAACTTTGTTGGTGCATCATTAAAAATCTTAATTGTCTAAATATATATATATATATATATATATATATATATATATATATATATATATGTATATATAATATATATATATATATATATATATATATATATATATATATATATATATATATATATATATATATATATATATATATATATATATATATATATATATATATATATTACCCTTTCACCCTGAAAGTCTGACTGAAGCTTGTCTCGAAAAAGTCCGCTTTCACATGACTTTTTTTTTGGACTGCACAACCAAATCCACAAGTTTCAAGTCTAGATTGAAAATGAGTATCAAAACGAGGTTACGTACTCCGAAATGTAGATGGCTATAGTTTTTTAGACTGGCCTTCTCAAAACAGAAAAGGCGAACAAAACTAGGCGTGATAACACAACCATTACATTCCTGTAACAAACATTCATGATGACACCATTTCCAGTAGCATCGTTTGTGTATATAGTTTGGCTATTAGGTTACATTTTATGAAGGAAAATAATTAGACTGTCTTTGAAAGGAAACTGTCACACAATCCTACAAGATTTTTGAACTGCACTCTGACAAAAGGAAAGTTATTGTAACATATTCCAAGGTGATGTTTGTGTTTTAGATATCAGTTACTGTAATGTAGCTAAGTTACTGTGAAGTTCGTGCTTCAGCTAAGTTACTGTGAAACATACTAACTTACTGTGAAATGCTTATAATGTTTGACCACAAGAATAAGCAGGAATTAAGACTTGCCGAAATATTTTCTTCAACATTTACCACTTTCTTCACCGTAAAATCAACACGAAAACTCTTGCACGTGTACCTTGCCAGCCTAAAAGACTTGATATTTCTTGTGCAGTTTCGACTTGCAAGGCGCCTATAGAGCCCTTTCAAGTGACGGCAAACCACCGGTAATAACGGCAATTCCAGTTTCAACCGACATTTTTGAGCAAGTTACAGTGAGCCGCCCTGGGAATATGTGTCTCAGGCTGCCTTCGGCAGGTCCGTGGTGGCAATGGCTCGCCCTAGGAGTGGTGCGTACTCTTCGTGCAAGAGCGCATCCAGTTCTCTGGCAACGTTGGTGCGCACGTGGTACTTGAAACCCCTGTCGCGGTCCTCGTTCAGGCTCAGGTTGGCTCCGTGCGCGACGTCCAGGTTGACGTAGTCGATGAGGAAGGTGCGCAGTATGGCCTCCTTGCCCGGCGCAGCCGTGGCCTCGATTCGGGCCGCTCCGGTACGCACCACAACATTCACGGGGACGGCCTTGATGGTGCCAGCTAGGTCGTCTCCTTTGGTCTGGAAAGGCCACGGCGACAATCAGACTTAGTCAAAATAAAATTACTTTCCAGATCTGACAATGCATACCAGACGGACGGATGGATGGACGGACGGACGGACGGGCGGACGGACGGACGGACAGACAGACAGACAGACAGACAGATAGATAGATAGATTAGATAGATAAATAGATAGATAGATAGATAGATAGATAGATAGATAGATAGATAGATAGATAGATAGATAGATAGATAGACTGGAATAGTGGAAAAAGGCAAGAAAGCTTGCTCACATAGCTTGCTGTGTGAGATAAGGAGTGTTAGCGAAATGCTAGAAATGCTAAACTCTCGCATGCTTAACGACTCCTGCCGCAGAATTAAATATATTTCAAAAAGATAATTTGTCTCGCAAGACACATTAGTGCCTTGAAAGGATTGTGAGCCGACTGGTGGGGAGGGTCTTTTTAACAAGGGTGTTCGCAAAAAAAAAAAAAACCTTAAGCAAATTTTAATTGATCACTACACAAGACTAAGCATGATCATTAGCTAATTTCAGTTTACATATAAATTGAAGTTAGGGCCAATCCTGTAATGTGGTGCTAAATTATTGTTCCATTTACTGATCGTCCGAAGCTTAGCGACATCTTCTGATTGACCTATAAACACCCACCGACTTTCCTTCGCTCAGATGACTATACTTCTGTCGTGCAAGTACGGGGCTATACTGCTTTCTCACCACAGCGACGAAGCTGGCCGTGATGCCGCTGAAGTCCAGTGTGCAGCTGACGCTAGTGTTGCGGCCCACGTGTGATGGTTTGTCGCAGTCGCCCAGACGGCGGATTCCCGTGTCGAAACCGCGGAATATGCCCGCTGTCATGTTCACCTTCAAGTCCCGGTTCGTGAAGCCCGTCTTCAACACCTGGAATTCGGAACGTATAGGTGAGACGCCAGGCGACGTTTGCAGTTAGGCTCGTATAACGCTCCTTGGCGCCTCTATAGTGACTGCTGGGCTTCCACGCCCCAGAAACAGTATAAGATTATGAGGGGCGCTGTAGTACAGGGCTCCGGAAACCTGAACCACCCTGAGTGCCATAACGTGCACCTAAATCTAAGTTCACGGGCCTCTATTACTTGGCCCCTAATGGAATGCGGCAGCCACGGCCAGGATTCGATCCCGATACTTCACGGTAAACAACTGAGCATCATAACCACATGACTACAGCGAAGGGGTGACTTTTACACTCAATATCATTGACTCTTGTTATGTCCATTTTCACAAAAAAGCTTGTTACATTAAATCGGCATCAGTTAGATATTAGTCTCCATCGTTATCTCTGCTTACCTGATCCATTACCGGGGCTCGAAGACGTATGAAAGCATGTAAGTTGGTTTACCGACCTTGCGAACGTAATCAGTTAATCTAATCTCCATTGCCGTGGCTTCGTCTGTAGCAGTTAGATCGCGTGTACCTATTCATACCTTGATAAGAGAAGTGATGGGCATTGCTGTTTACGATTGCGCTTGTGGTGATGCCTTTACATTAAGCGGGACAACATGTTTCAAATTGCAATCATCCTTTTCGTCAGAGGTCACATTAGTGTCAGAGACACTAATTTAAAGAACCATGAAAATAATTCGGGTATTCAAGTTTTTTTTTATTTCGTGTTACTTAAATATCAGCACTCGGTTCTAGTTTTCAATCAAAGCGCCTTTATTGATATTTTCGGCTTAATCAATGATCTTCGCAATTCATTTGATAGATCTTTGTCCGTATTTCTGTAGTGCTAGAAATGAATATACATCATAGTCTCAACAAAATAATGTCAAGGAAGTTGCTCTTTCACTTTTTTTTGTGAGTGTGTATTTAGCTACTACTTTGAAAGAGACATATTTCGAGCCTTTAAACCCAAACAATTATTATTATTATTGAAAGAGAAATATGTGTTGGTAGTCATCAGAAAAAGACTAAAAATTGTCGTAAAAGTACGCGATGAGAAGAAATCAAAGGCAGTGACTATTTCTGTCGAGAAGCGGCACTGCCACTTACTCGGTGGAAGAAATTGACACCGAAAAGCGAACGCGTTATGAACGCCCAATCTAATTGTACCTTAAACTTGAAGAATGGAATCACTGCAGATGGGTACAGCCTCGGAGATGCTTTCAGAAGGCGCGGCATCTTCTGCTGAATTATGCTGTCCATATATGCGTTGGCATCCCTAATGGTGCCACCTGGTAACGCCGGTGATGATACTGCGGAGAAAAGAAAATGTAAATGTGAGTTTCGTGCGACAAACTTCCGCAGTTCAAGGGTTATGAGCATGCAGACGAAATGTATATGACGTTCAGAGACAGTCACTGGAATACGTTCTAGAGTACCGTGACAACAGACCAATGTCTGTTGAATCTATTCTTGAATGTCGTCCTCAGAAGGCATGGCAGCTGAATGCGACCAGGTAATTCCTGAAGTTTCTAAGAAAAGCTAACTTGGACGAGCAGCTGGGACTGCGATGTCTCGTGCCCCGCGAGCGTGATCGACGTGTAAGATGTTTGAGCACGCAAGTGTGATGGACATGTAAACTTGAAAATTGTTTGTGTGTGTGTGCTGTTATGTGCTTTTTCTCATCGTCCCACTCTTTCCTCTCGCTCTTTCGATCTGCCTTTTTCCGTCCCCACGTGTAGTGTAGGAAACTGGCCTTTCTATACTGGTTGACTTCGCTGCCTTTAATGGTCTACCAATTCTTCTTAAAGGTAGAAAATCATTACAATGGTGTGCGTGGGTGTGGGAGAAGGGGGAAGGAGGGATTACGAGTCATTCTTCATGGTGCGCTATACGCTAAGTATAGGTTAAGTTTAGCAGAGTTAATGACTATACCTATAGTTGCTATGTAATTAATTATCACTAGGAATAAGTAAGCAGTTTATTAACTCTAAGTACAGCTTCAGGAAGTATTAAGCAAAAGATCATCATGCGCTACCTGGACAGCTTCTTGTGACCGTCTTCAACGGCATGACCGGACCTTGGCGGCTAATGCTATGCTTAAAAGCTCCGAAATGAACTGAATGTATTTGCTCGCTTTCATTTGCTTTGTTAATCCCACCAGCATTGTGAAAGGCAGCGGTCGGTCTTACCGAGTGAGGTTTGTTCGTCTTTGCATGTGCACGAAATGACTTGTGTGCTCGTTAATTAAATTTAAAAAGATTAAGGGACCCTTTGGCTTCACCTTTAAATGGTGAACGTGATAGCGATAACCTGTTCCTAGTGCGTACATCATCCCTTTAGCACATACTTTTTTATTGCATGACGTAACTAAAGAAGTTTAAATAGTGAATTACTACAATGTAATCAATAAAGTAGAAAGCGACCTGTGTCAGTAAAGCTTTCGCATATGGCTGAGTTATGTGTAATGAGTAGCATGCTCTAAAACACGAAAGCATTTTCATCGTGGTAGATGAATTGCTGTCGATATTGGTGTCTTTAGGACAAAACTGTCACGTATTGTAATCTGTTTAGTTCTGCGGTTATGTAGAATATTTGTGTCTCTCAGTAAAAAAAAAGTGAATTAGCGCTCTTTTCACACCTGTTATCTGCTTCGTCCTATAGTTAATCAGCTGATGCTGAAATATCCGTGCCGAGAATGAGTTGTCAAAGCTTGTGACGGTTAATAGATAAGGATAAAAGGGCTTACCGCTTAAAATTGGCCTGATTGGCCTGACTGGCCTAAATATGCGTCGTGGTGGAACCGGAGGCGGCACTCGAGGCACTGCGAAAAAGAGTAACCAGACAAGTGCGCAAGAATTAAGGTGGTTGGTTTGATAACAGCAAGAAAACAAACAAACAAATAAATTAATGAAGATAAGACACCATACAGCTACTCTTAAGTCTCGAGCATTTTTTTGTTATCATAATTGTTGTGGAGCATCCCAAAGCCACCATATGATTATGAGAGACGCCGTAGTGGAGGACTCCGAAGATTGCGACACTCTGGGGTTCTTCAACGAGCACCTGAATTTAAGCACATGGACCTCAACCACTTTTGCCTCCACCGAAAATGCTGCCGCCACGGCCGGGATTCGATCCCCCAACCTGCGGGTCAGAAAACCGGGTAAGCCAATGCATTACCGTGGCAGGCAGCAGTGTGTTATTGCACCTGCATGCCGCCGCGATTACGGGAAATGAAATAAGGCATGTACAATGGCAAAGCTTCAATGGTGTCTTCATGTAGCGCCACTCTCCTGCCGGTGGTTTTTACACTGATTTATCATGCACGTCTACACTTCAAAGTAAAATTCACGCGTAGTCTTAACCCTATCTCTACCGTTAATTGACGAGCATGAGATTCTGTACCAAAATGACTCACTGGTCCCCACGAAATGAATGGCAATCAGACTCGTCATAACAAAGTGTTTCTTCACTCTAGATGGCCACAATTGCGTATCTTGAGTCATTTGTGTCTCGGTATTGGTTTCATAGCCACAATTTTGTATTGCCGTACGCTGATGCCATTTTTGAGTTTTCATTTGTTACGCAGTTAGTGAAATAAGGGAACTCATTTGTATAGGAAAAATGATGGAGTTCTAATGAAAACAAACAAACAAAAGACCCTGAAGATTGAGCGAAAATATCTTTCATTAAATTTTGTATAATATTCTTTTATTTTATGATACGAAAAGTTTTGAATGATTGCACAAGATATTCTGCAGTACCATGCAAATATTGGCATCACTTGATTCAGCAACAACAACTTGCCCCATGTTTATGAATTATTAACTGTAATGAATATACTGAGGATTAAGTAATGAGGTGTTATTTTTTATAAAACGTCTGCTTTAAAGCACATTTTGCCCATACGAATAGGACACTCACCACTGGGCCTGTAGGTGCTTCTTGGTCCTGTGAACACGGGCGCCCCTGGCACACCTGCATAACGGATGTTGACTCAAGTGTACTCTGAAGCTATGAAGTAACAATAAGACACCCTAAATCAAAATTGTGACTGTAAGAGCACAATCAGTACGAACGTGATGGGTCGTCATCTTCGAGAAGGTCAAGGAACTTGTAGAGAGTGTCCTCGTAGCGCTCTGTGGTAGTTTGTGATCCTGGTAGGGTGATGCGCAAGGCGAGGTTGAAAAAAAAGTAACAGAGAAAAGGAAAGTATTATAGATCATAGCAAGCACCATAAATTGAACGAAGGTTATCTCAATTTTTTCGATGTCATCATAACGTAGCATATATAGCGTAATCTTCATTGCCGTCCATCACAAACCTCATTAATAGATAAAGGTACACCAAAGTGAAATAACTTAAAATTTTCTTCTTAAATTTCGCGCCATAACTCCCGCATGTGACGTCATGAACTGCAACTTTTTTTTATTTTGGGCGACATTATCCCCAATATGTTTCGTAAAACTTGGTATGGTGATTGTATGGCGGCGTCTGACAACAATGTGTAGTTATTTTTGCTGATAGGGAACCGTATGGGCACCTTCGACAGGTTGTCGGTGCAGGAACTTGAAGGTGGCGCCATCTTCCGCATTTTTTCGCGCATTCTCCCGTTTACTAAACTGCATCGAGGAAGGGGGTTGTTATTGGTAATTTATTGAGCAACTCACTAATGTTAGACATATTGTTTGTCTAGTTAGTTATGTTTTAGAACACCCTCCACTTTCTGGCTGGTCCAGATTGCACGTAGACACACGGGGAGGCGATCTTACGAAATCCGCACTACTGAAAACAAGTACGTTCGATGACATTGACTTAGCTACATGCAACCATACACCGTCCCTACGAAACGGTGTCACTAATTTTTTAAGCATTTTCAATGACCATAAAACGTATTTGATGGTAAGGAATTATGAGGGTCCCGTTGGTAGTTTTCAGGTTGTTAAAGTGGTTGCTTAGGCGTGTTGGTACGGCATAGTTGAAAAAACAAACAGCACGAAAAACTAAAAACCAGATGAAGTACACATACAGAGCGCTGTATGTGTAGAGGTACATACAAAACTTTAGATTGTTTCGCATTTCACTACTTTCGCACGTGGAAATCGGCAGCATGTTACACTATCTGTAACACTTGAAGGTGAAAGCCTGCTGCAAACTTCCTAATGCATAAAGTTATTGAATCTGGGTTAAGACTTCTTGCAAGACGTAACCAGACACAATGCGGATGACACGCATCAAGTTATCTTGACGTTTTAAGTCTTTCATTTTGCGTGGTGTTGCACGTGATGCTGTGTGATGACGAGATAGTGTTACAGAACAATGAAACCGAGATGACGTGACCAGTTTCTGTGATCAGTGATTTTATAACGTCAAATTGTGACCTCACAATATGACGTCGTCAATGAAGTAGGTCACGTGGGTTTTTGTACCACTTCATCGCCTGCTGTGTTTCGCTCAAGGGGCTGCTGATAACGAGACACTTAAGGCTTTCTTTTTAATTGATTGATTGATTTGTGGGGTTTAACGTCCCAAAACCACCATTTCATTATGAGAGACGCCGTAGTGGAAGACTCCGGAAATTTCGACCACCTGGGGTTCTTTAACGTGCACCCAAATCTGAGTACACGGGCCTACAACATTTTCGCCTCCGCTTTCTCTTTAATATATGAATGAAATATGTCTCGACAATGCTAATGTGCAGCCTTTTTACACAAAGGCCATAGCTCAGAAGCGCACTGAGGAAATCATTGACGTTGACCTCCACCACAGGAAGCCACTAAGACTAATGGCTCTTGAGTGGACAATCCATCTTGCCCTTGCAACTGTTCCCTTGCAACTAAATGAAGGTTACTACGGACAACACAGGGTGTAGAGATCAGGAGAGTGTGAGAGCTCTTCAATAGCTTATTGTTACAGGGATCCAGGAACACCTGTTACAATTTCCTTGTTGGTATTACGAAACGGCCGTCGAGTTTGTGTACACGAATGCCGATTGGAATGAGTGAACGTCAGGGTTAATTTGCTCAACTGAGCCAAAGCAAGGATGAGATGACTCAATCATCCCAAGAGGTAGTAACAAAAACACGCATAAATACGTCCGTGTCTTGTGTCCAGTCAACCTTTTAACGATCCGCTTCCGCGTTGCGTTGATGTCAACAAAACAAATAAAACGACAGAATATCGCTTGTAATAGATGAATATTCTTGAACACGGGTTTTTTCTAAAGCCAACATTTCTACAAGCGGTTTTATCTCCTTCAAGACAACGACTAAGTTGCTAGCCTTTGAAAGACGAAGCCACTTGTCGAAAGGTTGGCTCCAAGGACACACCGTGTTCAAGAATTTTCCATCTCTTCAAGCCTTCATCTTCTCCTGAACTTCTGCCATGTTTGGAGCATCAATTTAGAACACGCTTGCGTCTGGCCTACGCCGCGGTGTTATAATCTGAGAAAAGGTTTGAAATATAGCTTGAATGCGTTAAAATTTTTTTCAGTTTCAGTTTTCAGGTTATTCGCTTTCATATAAAACATACATGCTTACATCAGTACACAGAAGGAGGACCCCAGAGAATTTAGCTGAAGGGGAACCTCCTGTCAGAAAATCAGTTAAATATGTACAAGTAAAATGCAACTGTGTCAAAAACGTGAAATAAGTTATACAAATAAATGTGTACAAAGTAATAGCAGTCAAAGTTTACCAGCTATAAGTAAAACAGAAAGTTGTTTATTATATTAAAAATAGAGAAAAAAAACATGAAAATATGACTAATTGATTCGAATGAGCGAAGTAACGATCAAAGCAAGAGGTTGACGCGTGCTCTATTTTGAATGCATGCATTGCATAATATTATCTTATATTAACATTATTATACTTGTTTAGCAGCGGGTGCAATCATCTCATTGAAATTTTATAGTTATAGAATCGTTTTATATAAAACTATTGGTGCATGCTGAGAGCTTGAACTACGTTGTGATCCAAGTCCGAAGAGTGATAGATTTCACTTTCAACTGTCCTTCTAGGCACATTTTGTTTTACGCGTTTAAAAATGTAGCGCATCATATACTTCGGTTTAAATGAACTGTAAGGGCTGAGTTGGGAAACACAAGCATGCGTTAATCGAGAAAATTAAATGTGTGCAGGTTACGACTTGACTAATTCGAAAGAGGTGAGTTTTGCAGCATATTTTGTAATGTACCAATAGAACTGTGATCGTGACACACAAGTGAGCTACTCCATTATTACAGGGAAGATGGCAAATTTCTTCGCTGAAAGGAAAGTAAATAAATTAAAGAAATTAAAAAAAAGTGCTTACTTTGGCTGCTGGCGGCGACCACAGCGAGGCCGATGATTAATAACCGAAGCATCGTGGGATTGTTTATGCTCTGGAAGAACAACGGTAAGACAACAGATTAAGCTTGTGATCTTTATATAAGACACGGAAAAGAGAGTATTAAAAAATACAAATACACGCTTGTTCAAGTAGCTTCTGCGTGCCATATGGTGTAAAATGCGGTACCATGAACATTGATACTGCTATGCACAACGCATGCCACAACGTTGCATGAGATTTGACTCGCACATTTGATATGATAGTCATGCTTGAAGTTTATGTATTGCACGACAAATTTTGGGAAAGCCGTAGGCCCGTGTGCTCAGATTTGGGTGCACGTTAGAACCCCAGGTGGTCAAAATTTCCGGAGCCCTCCACTACGGCGTCTCTCATAATCATATGGTGTTTTTGGGACGTTAAACCCCACAAATCAATCAATCAAATTTTGGGAAAGTGCTCCCAGAGATGACTTTCCTCGAAAATCGCTCATGTTTGGTTCACGGTAGCGGCACGGCGGCTGACCATTCACCGGCTGCCGTGAGCGGGTGGTTTCGTTCGCGCGTCTGCCGTTATTTTCCGTTCGGAGAATAGGTCCGTGACCCATTTTCGTGCCGTTTTCCGTTTGCTGAATAGAAACATAGCTAATCAGCGTTAGTTGAACTACATTGGTGAGCCACGTCGGCTGCTTTCGGCTTTCCGCGTCGTCTGCGTTTGCCGCGAGGCGCTTCGAGCTGCTTGCTTCTTCCTCCACGGTTTTGTATGGATGTCGTTCATGTTGTTGCCAGGCTTGGTTAGAGAAGTTAGTAGAGTGTTTTGTGTGTCCGCAATATCCAAAAAATGCGCAGCGTAAATCTAAATAACGTGTCTCAAAGCTGGCAACCGGACAAGTGGCTCTAGCTATTAGGGACTAGAAACAACTAGCAAACGTGTAATGCATATGGCCTCCGAGATTTCGTAAGTGTCCATCACCACTCGCTGAGCTTACAAAATTTGAGTATGGCTCTCAAAAAGAGCGACAAATTGATTCGAGTACTGTATTCTCGAAGCATAGGGTCATGGGTCTAAAGCGTCTGTTTGGAGCTTACAAGCTACAGAGCGCACGGTGGCGGCATGATAAATTTGAGGTAGTCGACAACTGCATCCGAAAAGCCAGCCTTGTTTTTCGAAGGCTGAAATGCTCGGCTGGTCCAATGCCGTGCATTTTGAGCAGGTCTCTCGAGGACAGCGGCGGGCGACAGTCTACGGCACCACGCCATTCCGACAGACTTGCCGCTGGCATAAGCGATCCATGACTTTTTACTCAGAATAAAAGCGCCTTTAGGTCAGAGCACGTTGAGGGTCTGTGGCTTTATGTGGCTACGCGAATGCTGGTTTCAGCAACTGAGCGATGACCTAAGAAAATAATGTGTTCTAGAAAATAACCTTGCCGATAAGGGACGGTGACTTCGCAGTGTGGGTCAAGTCTCGTTTCATCCGTTATCTCTCGAGAACAGAGCGGAGCCTGAGCGCTACCGCTCGCTTCGTGGCTAGTCCAGTTTCCACGGAAAGGCCACCTCCGTAAACAAAGTCTTCCCTCAAGTGCCGCCATTTCCCTTGTGTTTCCTGTGAATGCACATAACGTTACTGAGGCTCGACAACAGACACCTATTTTCATGGATATCTTCGACAGTGCCTGTGTAGTTGACGTGACACATTGGTTCGTTGCTTCAGATAAAATGTAAGTACTTTCGAAGGCCATTAGGCCTCGTGCAAAAGGTGCTAGAAGCGCACACCTTCACGCTGCGTTAAACCAGAGGATGGCCGGGCTGTTTCCTGCTTGAGAGTTTACTACTACTGAATGAAATCAGAACTAGTGCATTCTGCTCGTTTGCCAGTCGATTTGAAACAGCGGCTTGTCTTGTTTATGGTTAAGTAACGTTGCTCAGCATGGTCACTATTTCAGTGCATATGCTTTATCTTATCGCCTGCGGGTGCTCTTGATTTATAACTTTCCTTAAATATCCTCCTGCCGCGCCGGAGTTGGAACATACACATGTCATCTGTACTTTCTGATAGTCTGTAACAAAAAAACTGTTATTGTTATCGTCACTACTTTTATCTGTCATTCACCGCGAGCCGTTCAGCTTCATGGTGGCCCCATTTTCTGCCTTAGAATCGATAATGTGCAATTCGTGTGTGTGAATTCACATGACACTGCCCTGCTCTGTTGGATTGCTTACCCAATGGCGTAAGTGTTGGACGTATGGTACTCGGCATGGAAATCGAACATCATTTCTTTTACTCTGCTTCGAATCATGTATACGTCATCGCGCTTGCGATGAGGGCAGAAATGATACTGCTGCTTCACTTGTTGGTGGTATAGTACACCAAGCTCACTCTAACAGAAGTACAGACTGATCTATCGTTAAAAGGAACACCGGAGCACGTGACCTCCCTCTACTAGGCGCCAACACCTGCAGGCAGATGGAAGCATGCAGTTTTGCGAAGGCGCTGCAGTGAGCAGTCTGGTTTGACCTGTAGTGGTGTTCTTTGGCCTGTCTGCTTACGCACGCTTGGAATCTAGACGAAGCGAGGTATTCATGCGAAAAAAGCATAGTTTTTTATAACGTTTACTAGACGATGCGGTGGCACTGCGGTCGTTCAGACAACATGGAAATGTTTAAACGTGAATTTGTCTAATATTTGTGCTTGGAGCTTCGAATGCCTTTGGAGCTTTTATTGTCATGTTTTGGCGCTTGTTTCACATGGAAAAATTGCTCACTGCGACCCTTGTGAGCAGATTTGAATCGGCGAGCTTAAAAGGCTCTATGTGGGGAAGATGTACGGCTGAACGTTTGCTGAACTTCAACCTCATCCTTTGACAAAGCGTTTGCAGGCCACAGTGAGCCGGAAGAACGAAGCTCAGTCAATCCGTGAACTCCACCCATCATTTCCATGCTGGCTGAAGTGCCTTGAGTTACAGGTTTTATAGAAATTATAGTAGGGGACAACTTTCTGTGGTGCCCCGCCACGGTGGTCTAGTGGCTAAGGTACTCGGCTGCTGACCCGCAGGTCGCGGGATTGAATCCCGGCTGTGGCGGCTGCATTTCCGATAGAGGCGGAAATGTTGTAGGCCCGTGTGCTCAGATTTGGGTGCACGTTAAGGAACCCCAGGTGGTCGAAATTTCCGGAGCACTCCACTATGAGTTTCTCATAATCATATGGCGGTTTTGGGACGTTAAACCTTACAAATCAATCAATCAATCAATCAATCAAATTTCTGTGGTAGTGAAGGGGAAGATATATACGGGGGTGGAGTTACTGCACATGTACACTTCTGCAAAGTAGTCCTGCCAGACTCGCTTTTCGAAAGATGGCCGTGTTCAAATAGTACCACAGCCCAGAATATGCTACGTCTGATACGCAGCCATTTGTAAGTGAAATTTGACACAAGCGCCTTCAACGAGTCGTCGGAATAGCTGCAGAACGATACGCGCTCACCTACAGGCGAAGACGCCATTTTGACAGTGAGGTGAACCTGAACCCTAATGTTTTCAGGCGTGCAAAACGCAAAATCACGCTTCATAGAGCCAAAACAAATGTTTATATCTCATTGGTTCGTTTAGTGCTTCTCTATAGAGCGTTCCATCGGGCCAGGGGGACCGGCCTGGCAACCAGCGCTTTCTTCCTTTCGGGAGCGAGCCGAGGGCGCGGAGTGTATGGGCTGGTGCTTGTATAAGTGGCTTTGTCGAACAGTTTAGCATGTTTAAGTCGAACTGCGGATTTTCTTCTCTTGTATGGCGATATGTCTGTCAGAGGAAGGCCAACCGGAAGCCCCTGTGCCATGTTTGGTTGTTCTAAAAGCTACAGTAATAAAAAAAAAGAAAACAGCCATCTGATTGTGTATGCGGCAAGCACCACCAAACGCGCAGCATTTGGAGATGATTCGTGGTACGTTGTTTGTATTACGTTTGACACGTTCTATATTGGCAAGTGCAACAATGTCCGGAATACCAGGGCTCAAATAACAATCGGATATGATTGGATTGACGAACAAATATGAGAAGTCTATTGCGGTTCTGTTCATTAAAGTACAAATATCTGAGCACCACTCGTGTAGCCACCTGTGTCGTTTTAACTTTGTTTTATTATTATATTTTAATATCATGGCTTTGGTCAAAACAATAACCTTCATAACTCAGCTCGACACGGGGATCTATATAGTTAATGTGGCTGTATCAACACAGCGGAGAAACCCCCCACTTCGTAGCGGGGAAACCGGAATGGCTCATTTATTTTTGTTCTGCGCACCCATCATGTAAACCCCAAATATTCACTGAGTTCTACATGAAAATGAAGTGGCGGAATCCTTGTCACGATTGTGCAACTTTCGTAAAACGGTGGAGTGTATCACGCCCGATGTGCCATGTGAAAGCCGAATAGGCAAAAAAAAAAAAAAGAGAAGAGAGTTTTGTAACTTCGTATTAGGAATGACTATCTCAGAAAGATCTCATACGGGGGCATTAAATGTCGAGCAAAAGAAAGGCAGCAATTCATGAACAATAAATGCCGTCATCACTAAGATATTGCAAACTGCGTGCTGCCGCACGATCATATGTACGGGTTAGTCGCTGTGACAGAATATACAAATCACGAGCGAAAAACAAACTAAACTATTACTGTCCAGAAAAAATTATATATACTATATCTTCGATGCCAACCCTGCTGAAGCGTGTTGAAGTATTCTTACGTTTTTCAAACAGAAAGAATGCCGAAAACGTACGTCACCGACCACTTGCGACAGGTTCGTGCCGTCACATATTATCAAATTTGACCCCGAAGGAATGAGAACGTTTCAGAATATCTCAGACTCAATTCTTACCTATACTGCATCGTTTGACAAAAAGTTCAGTGTGCCAGAACGAAAAAAAAATAGCTGTACCTGTAACCGTACGAATATACTTTCCATATAGAAACGTGGAGCTTCGCACGCTCGTTGGGTTGTCATACCAGGGGCGGCGCCATCCCCTAGGCAATCTGGCGGAACCCACGTTAAAGAGCTCTATAAACAGCATCCTGTAGAAAATAAAGCAATGTTTTCTTTTGTTTTTCAAGCGGAAGACATATATGCGCATTTGTGGGACTCCATTCTTCAGCCGTGGCACACGCCTGCTTTTGTTCCGTAGTCTTCTCTTCGTTGCCACAAAAAGTTGTCCCCGAGTATCGCGCCAGATTTCCCTCGATTGTGTATTATTATGAAACTGCGGGGGAAAAATCACCATGCACGGCGCTTACTGCGGCTGCGCGAAACCCACCGGCGGTTGCGCGGAAATAATCCGCCGTGGTTCAGGAAAACGGCGTCATAGTGAGTCAGCATTTATGTGACATATGGCGTCGTTCCTAATAAGCGATAATTTGATGGTCCGCGCTCATGATTATTTAGCTGGAATCACTGTTGGTAGCACTGCAGCACGGTAGCGCATGAGCACAGTCGCGTGGTTTTATTTCATATGCGTTCTAGTTACAGCGCGAAATAAACGAAGATCGTAGATACCTAGGGAAGTGATAGAGGCTTTCCATGTTAAAGGAATGGATGAAGCATGCGTAAGTGAGGCATCGATACATCCTATGGAAGGAGAGTTTGCATGTCTTTTCAACACCCGTGCCGCGAAGTGATATACGCTATGTAGATTTTTATATTGCCTTTTTAATACTTATTCGCAATGCTGATGCGCTTCTTTTTTCAAGATTTCTTTTTCACGTTTTTGTGTTCTTAAAATAAAACTTTCAGTTGTGAGTCAGTGCTCGTCTGTGCCCCTTCCGTTTTTGTTGATTTCGCAGTATAAGTGAAAAGGCATCCGTACCAACTATCCGAACTTTCAGTACTATTGCAATTCATGTAATATATCACGGGAGTTTAGAGGCGATGTTTCTTAGAGCATCACCTGGTCGGTCGTCGATCGGCTTCACTAAATCCAGCGTACCAACCCATAGCGTCTCTGTTAACATTCATTAGACGGTGCTTTCGCGTAGAGATGCAGGCAAACTGCAGTTGGGTGACGATATACTAGATGGCGCTGTACGCATTATATGTCGTCATCGCCAATTTATTTTCTAGCTACCTAGATGGTGCTATCCCATAAAGAAACATGCAATATGGCGGTTGGGTGAATGTACATTAGGTGGCGTTGGAGGTGCAGCTGCTCTCCGATTGGCTGCTGCGTGGGGTGTGAGCGTCATAAAAGGGCGCATCACCAGTTATCCCCGATTCTCCTGCATCGCCACCATGCGTAGAGGTGTGCGCTTGCAGGATCATGCTTGGTTGAACGCATGGATGGACGCACGAACAGAAGCACGTATGGACGGACGAACACACGGACGAACGGATGGACGGACAGAAGCACGGATGTTACGGACGCTTCCCCACACTCATCATCATTCACTCCGTGGATATCCTGTGATTTTTTTTTCTTAACGGCGTGAAAAGATCACTACCCAGTGCGTGCACTTCCTCCAGAAATCATATCTGTCATTTTGAAATGCCCTCTTCAACGTAACGCAAATCATGTCGCACAAACGTGTATATTAAACATTTTGCGCAACCAAACCTGGATAATTAACTAATTACGCCCAATATAAATATCCCCTATAGCGAGCGCCACACGACGGGAAATCATGACGTTGGTTCCATTCAGTTGCGGTTAACTGCTTTTTCGAACTGCTTAATTCTAGCTACGGTAAACACCCTGAAGAAAGCAAACACATGCATGTGGATGCGCTTTCCAGTGTCGTGCAAACAACTCGGCAATAGCAGGTCGATAATTGATAGTGAGGAAGGCGCTGCTTGATAGGCCTTGCTGGTGACTACGAGCAAAACAGCTTCGAATTCTCTCTGTACACTCGTATAACGAATAGTGTATCAATATGTAGCATTCGCGTGAAATGAACTATTTTTGTCAATTACTGTTTTACAGTGGTAGTGTGCTATCCCTTTCGGCTAATTTGCTTGAGCTTGCTAAGATAAGGTGGCCGACCAGTTATTACGATAGGAGTTTGCAATCTTGCGAGGACCACTGCATTCTCAATGACACATCGTCAATGCTTAAAAATTTGCTTCAAAATTTGCTAGTTTCGCCTATGCGTAAACATGAATTCAAGTTCACAGTAACGACAACATATCTTATGCAACTTTCGCTTCAGCAGACGCGTCCTGGATATGCGAGTCAACAGTTTTCGATTTGTTTCAGGTTACGTTACAATGAAGGGCGTGTCTGGCGTCATAAGCGTGTTTCCGCATACTATGGTTGGTGTGATGAAATAAAAAAACAACGATCGTTCAAGTGCTACGTTGCCGCACTATAGAATAATTAAGAAGGGATCCGGTTTCCTCATCTCCCTTCTATGACATAATCGAATAACATTACCAACGATAGGAGACTGGCCCGAACGCCTGTATATGTGGTATTAGCAATATCCATACAAAACGCATACTTGTGGTTTGAAAAATGTACGTCTCTTCCAAGAAACGCTGGCAATGCGCTACCTTTGAAAACCTTGGAACGCAGGCGTGACATGGGTAGACAAAATGGGCTTTAATCTTTCTTGCCACCGACGTGGGCAATTCCCCTCTGTAGCGTACGGGCAAAACGAGAACTCGTGCAACCTATAGATATTCATGAACTTACAGTATCGCTTCGAGGCATCGACGGGCGAAGCAGGGTTCCCTTTTCGCTCGCTGTGTTTACTCCTCGCTGGAGAGTCCTTGGCACTGCGGCTCACGTGTCGATCGGATGCCGGCTGCGGATGTTGGCTGCCATTCGGGCCAGCGCTACACGGCGACGGTTCTGCCCGCTCGGTGGCGGTGTCGACAGCGTTCAGGACGTCGGCGCACTTGTCGCCGTACGGAGGCGGCCTCAAGAAAAACCGGTTGCGTCGCAGAAATACGCCTCCCCCGCGCAGAACGAGCGCCAAAAATCATCCGCCCTCCTCCGATGTCCTTGGCTGCGCGACGAAACGAAAGCGACCGACGCGATGAGTCGCGCGCACGTGGTTTCGCGTGCCCCACGCGGACATGTTATCGCTCACGATCAGCAGTATTGGGTCGCCCTTCTGGGTCTATTGGATATGCGACTGTAGCAATGGTTCGTGTGAAAACAGCGGACGTGTTTTTTGCGTATGTCGAAGGCTCTCGGCTTGGCTGTTCCCGCGACGCTTCCCAGTTCGATACCATCGATGTGTTGGGTGGACGTTGAGCAACGCCTTCGCTACACCCTTACATTTTCAGTAAATTTCTAGCGTCTTACTTCCAAGCATCCTCACTGTACCTCTTTATTATATTATTGAGTGGTGCTTTAAGGGTCTTCAGTGTTAAACACGCTTTATGAAACTGAAGTATGGTCGTGCACGCTTGAGTTTTTGAGCAGTTCTTTCCCAGTAGTTTTAATGAGCTGATTGGGCCAAAATGATATGTGATTACAGTAGGGCAGAGATTAATCATTGTGCATCGGGTACAGGATCGTTTACATCACTGGCGAACACCTCTTTTGTATTCAAGACCTCACAGGAGCTGATGTTTAACACATAAATCAGAAATATATTATCGCGTTTATAGAAACCGCAAATAGACGCTACAAAATTCCTTCCTTGAGTATATTATAAGCGTTGAAGCTTGACTGGATGAAATGCTTATGAGATTTAGAGTGTAAATGTGGTCGCCGCTGTACATCGTTTCCTATGGGACCAATAACGCAGGTGGATCATTTTCAAATTTTCTTAAACAGACTATGGTTATTAATCGTGGGCTCTCAGTTTTTTTCACCTGAGCATTCTATTCAGATCAATGGGAAAGCGTCAGTCAATCATAGCGTGGCAGCCGATCATATCTCTTCCAAGGCTTTTTTTTTTTCCTCTCAAGGAAGTTATGTGCACTAGTAACACGTGTGGAGTGGCGCGGTACTGGTGAATTTTCTGATACTCTTTAAAATGTTTTGTAATTGAGATCACGAATTGCACGAACAGACGCTAACTAACACCACAAGCATACATCGCAAATAATAAGCGGGTAGAGCAACAGCATGGCGTTGCTATTAAAAGGCAAAACGTAAGACACCCTGCAAATGACGCGGAATGGTAAAAACTGCAAATTATGCGATTTAATAAAAACACGTTTCTTTTTATGTGGGTCAGTCAAGGCAGTAAATTGGGCTAGTTGGTTGTGGTATCTAGCATTCATTTCTTGTAGCGCAAAAAAGAATCGCACCGACGCAAGGGAGGAGACGGAAACAGGACGAGAGCTAGATATCACATAAACTGGGTTAATGTCTGGTGCCCATCCTGCCTTCCTATATCCTCTCTCGTGTTTGAGTTTTTACCTTTTTCGCTAAGGAAGTGCATGGTAGCTTTCACATGAATGCTTAGGTTAACTCATGGCCTCTTCTATATGGGTGGAAGAAATTGCGATAAGGACTTCAGGAAACAACCCTAAAGGGGCCGATATTCCATTTTCGCAACGTTCAACTTACAGTTTCGCTTGCTTTGCTGTCATTTAGACGAAGGACAAAATAGCTAGATGGCGTGGAATCTGACAAAAGACCACACGTCTGTTTACTTTCGGCGCGAATGTGCGCGTGTACCTCATTTATACGCGGATGTGGTCATAACTTTTACATGTTTAGACGCCTATTTTACGGTATACGTTTTAAATACTCATCGCCATCATAATTTACACTGAAGAGTACGTGCCTATGCTGAGCTTCAAGGGCAACTTGTACGTCGGCTTAAAACGGGGTTTGAGTGTTGTATTCTTTTATTTAAATGTCATGAGAGGAATATAGTCTATCGTGCTTTATTTATGACAAACATGTTCACATTTCATGCTTGCTAGGGTTGTAGTTTCGGTGAGGTGGTTCGTGCTCATAAGAGAGAAAACCACGCAAAGTTAATACAGACACAAGATGAAGAAGGCACGACAACAGCCCTGATTCACAAATTATTTTTTTGACGCTGGGCACATATGTACTTGAAGATAAAAATAATAGGAAGAACAAACATGATATTGCCGCGTGCATAGCTGCATTTAGCGGCGAGATAGCGACGACAACGAAGAACGCGGTTTTGCTCGAGAGGTGCAGCGCGTGTGTATCTCGCCAGTTAGAGGTCACTTATACCAGATTGCGCTGTGCAGTTCCACAACTAAATTATTACCTTAATAAAGCTCAGCTCAAGGCGTCACCCTGCACCGCTCAAGCCGTCGCCTTCAAGGTCTTGAACAAGAATTTGGCCTTTTAAAGGGAGCAACACTTCCGACAACCACCCCTACTCAAGAATCGGCAAGGAGTCCTGCACAGGTGACGGTCCAGAATATGCGCATTCCTGAACCATTTCATGGCCGGCCGAACGAAGATGCGCAAGGCTGGCTTGAGCAGTTCGAACGGGTAGCTAAATCAAACTACTGGAGTCTCGATGGAAAGCTCTTCCACGTATACTTCGCCCTTGAAGACGGCGCGAAGACGTGGTTTATAAACCGGGAGGCAACCTTGACGACATGGGAGGAGTTTTGTCATCGGTTTCTTGACACCTTCGGTAACGTGCACCGACGCGAAAACGCACAACGCCTTCTTGAAGGACGCACCCAACAGCTGCATGAAAGCGTCGCCATGTTTGCTGAGGATATGATGCGCTTGTGCCACCGCGCGGACCCCAACATGCCCGAGGCTCGAAAGCTAAGCCATTTCATGAGGGGCGTCAAAGAGCAGCTATTTGTTGGTCTTGTGCGCAATCCGCCGACAACAGTGGACGAGTTCACCAGGGAGGCCACCGCAATAGAGCGTGCGCTACAGCAACGGTACCGGCAGTCTGATCGCCGGGCCACCGGCGCAGCTGCAGGCGCCACCGCACTTACCGAAAACGACGAGTTTTTTCTACGCCACCTGATAAACAGATCGTGCGCGAGGAGATCGCGAAGGAGAACGCAAAATACACATTGCAGTCACAGGCGCCCCCGCAGCAGGAGTCCACGGTAGCCTCCGTCGCTGAAATCGTTCGCCATGAACTTCGACAAGCATTTGCCTCTCCTCAGCAATATTCCGCTCCACCGCTCCGTCCAAACTCGTGTACCTAGGCAGACGCTGTGCGTCGTCCATTGGCTCCAGAAGTATCGTACCAGCCGAACGGATACAGCTATGCAGACGCTGTTCGTCGACCACAGCCCATGCCAGCGCCGCAGTACCTCGAACCGTAGTGAACCACTACCTTTTCAGATCTTTAGTTATGATTCGTAGTTATGTCTTTCAAAAACAAAAGATGGTTTGAACCGCTTGCTCAGCACACATTTTTGTTTTTTGGTAGTATTATTTTAAGCTACTTTTCAGATTGGCTTCATTTTCAGTTTAGTTTCATTTAAGTATCCTGCCGCCCGGTTCTTGGCCCATCCCCCTTTGTGGGTAAGCGCCATCCATCCAAGGTCATCAGCATCAGCATCAGGTGCAGCGCAGCAGAGTGAAGAAGACCATAATCTTAGCGGCCTTCTCTGAGAGCGTCTCTACAAGTCCCACTGTCCTTGTTTTTAAATAACCCCTTTGTAATATATAACCCGCGACACTGGTGGAGGAGCTGGGTACTACCACCTCATGATCAGCACCCCTGTGAGAAGCTTCGAGTCCAGCCCTACGAGACAGCCACGCGTGGAGACGCCTGTGCACCGCTCAAGCCGTCGCCTTCAAGGTCTTGAACCAGAATTTGGCCTTTTAAAGGGAGCAACACTTCCGACAACCACCCCTACTCAAGAAATGGCAAGGAGTCCTGCACAGGTGACGGTCCAGAATATGCGCATTCCTGAACCATTTCATAACCGGCCGAACGAAGATGCGCAAGACTGGCTTGAGCAGTTCGAACGGGTAGCTAAATCGAACTACTGGAGTCTCGATGGAAAGCTCTTCCACGTATACTTCGCCTTTGAAGACGGCGCGAAGACGTGGTTTATAAACCGGGAGGCAACCTTGACGACATGGGAGGAGTTTTGTCGTCGGTTTCTCGACACCTTCGGTAACGCGGACCGACGCGAAAACGCACAACGCCTTCTTGAAGGACGCACCCAACAGCTGCATGAAAGCGTCGCCATGTTTGCTGAGGATATAGCGCGCTTGTGCCACCGCACGGACCCCAACATGCCCGAGGCTCGAAAGCTAAGCCATCTCATGAGGGGCGTCAAAGAGCAGCTATTTGTTGGTCTTGTGCGCAATCCGCCGACAACAGTGGACGAGTTCACCAGGGAGGCCACCGCAATAGAGCGTGCGGTACAGCAACGGTACCGACAGTCTGATCGCCCGGCCACCGGCGCAGCTGCAGGCGCCACCGCACTTACCGAAAACGACGAGTTTCTTCTACGCCACCTGATTGGACAGATCGTGCGTGAGGAGATCGCGAAGGAGAACGCAAAATATACATTGCAGTCACAGGCGCCCCACAGCAGGAGTCCACGGTAGCCTCCGTCGCTGAAATCGTTCGCCATGAACTTCGACAAGCGTTTGCCTCTCCTCAGCAATATTCCACTCCACCGCACCGTCCAAACTCGTGTACCTATGCAGACGCTGTGCGTCGTCCATTGGCTTCAGAAGTATCGTACCAGCCGAACGGATACAGCTATGCAGACGCTGTTTGTCGACCCACGCCCATGCCAGCGCCGCAGTACCTCGAACCGTATCCTGTGGCAGCCTGGGCTCAGCAGAATTCTGTCAGGCGACCCTTTATGCGGAAGACCGACATATGGCGCACTGCGGATCGTCGCCCACTCTGCTACAACTGTGGAGAGCCAGGGCACATTTGCCGTTTTTGCCCACATCGCCGAGCTGAATACCGCGGTAGTGCACCTACAGCTACGCGCCGACAGTTCGACGAAAGCCGTGCCCCCATCGACGACGACCAGGCTGGCAGGCGGGAAGGCTC